AGGCAAGAGCAGGTGCACCAGTAAGAAGGCAGAAGCCTGCCAAGTGTTCTCAGGGGGTTGCATGTGTGGGGATGGGCAGGCAGAAGTGGAGGAGGTGACCTGGAGAGGTCGAGTCCTGGGTCACTCACTTGGTGAGCAAAGCTAAGGAGCTTGAACTTTATCCAGGAAGTTGTGGGGAATCCTTGAAAATATTATCTTACTTTAAAAGGTGAGATTCATGTCTTACCAAACTGTTATCAGGGCAGTGTGGAAAGCAGATTGAAAGAAGGTAAGGACCAGGACTAGTCGGGGAGGTACTCAATCAGTCTAAGTAGGAACTGATGACAAGGGCCAATCCAGAGCCTGGTGAAAAGGAGGGAGAGGGCAAGGAGGTTCCACACAGAGCCAAGGAAAGGAGCAGAGTGGCTAGAGGATGCAGCATGGAAGCCACAGCAGGACTGCAGAGCCCCGCCACGCCACCCTGGCAGGTTTTCTCACTGTTTTCAGTCCCGGCTTCCTTATCTGAGAAATAGGCTGAGTAATAGTTACTTTACAGGGATAGTATACAGTGAAAGACTTAGTTCATGGCGGGTACTCAATAAATAATAATTAAAATATTATTTGGGGGAAGAAATAGTATATTCCAGGGATATAATTTACCAAGATAAGAAACTTAGCAGGAGGGACAGGGAAGTTTGTGAGCTGTTTTAGAAAGACACAGCTGGGCACAGTGGCTCATGCCTATAATCCCAGCATTTTGGGAAGCTGAGGCAGATGGATTGCTTGAGCCCAGGAATTCGAGACAATCCTAGGCAACATAGCAAGACCTTGACTCTACAAAAAATTAGCTGGGCATGGTGGTGTGCAACTATAGTCCCAGCTACTCAGGATGCTGAAGCGGAAGGATCACCTGAGCCCGGAAAGCCGAGGCTGCAGTGAGCTGTGATCACGCCACTGTACTGGATGATAGAGTGAGACTCTGACTCAAAAAAAAAAAAAAAAATTTTAGATGGACTAAATTTAAGGTATGTGTGGGACTACTGTATAAGAAAACTGAATAAAAAGTTAAATAAAACAATACAGTGAGAACTAGTCTCTTAAAAAAAAAAGTAAAATATGTGGGACTTGGGAGTTAGGAGAAGCCAGGAGCTGAGTGAAGCTACTTGAGTGTAGGACTGAGAAGGGGGGAAAGCAACAAGGAGGGTGCCCTGAGGACCCCAACATCACAGTGTGCAGAGGGGAGCAGGCACATGTCGCAGCCAGAAAACAGCCCGAGAGAAGAGGGGGATGTCAGGAGAACATGGTGGCAGGAACTTCAAGAGAGAAAACTTTAAGGAGGGGGTGTAATCAGCACTACATATGTCATGAGTGAATTCTCTAATGCCACAAGATGACCACGGAACCAAAGGGCAGCAGGGTGTTCAGGGGGTTTTGGTTATAGGAAAGCACTGTCTCCACTGAAGTGGTGGGTCAGAGCCATCTTGTCACATTAGGAGACTAAGGGATAGGAAAGTGGAAATGCCAGCCCAGAAGGGAAGTAGAGATATGTCAGACAGTAAAGAGTAGCATAAGATTGAGAGAGTGGTGTTTTGCTTTCATAGAGAAAGGAAGCCGGGTGCAATGGCTCATGCCTATAATCCCAGTACTTTGGGAGGTGAAGATGAGAAGGTTGCCTGAGTCCAGGCTGAGTTGAGAAGACTGCCTGAGCCCACGGGTTCGAGACCAGCCTGGGAAACTTGGTGAGACATCATCTTTACAGTAAATCAAAAAATTAGCCAGGCATGGTGGCATGCGCCTATAGTTATAGCTACTTGGAAGGCTGAGGTGGAAGGATCACCTGAGTCCAGCAGACTAAGGCTGCAGTGGCCATGAGCATGCCACTGCACTCCAGCCTGGGCCACAGAGCGAAACTCCAACTCAAAAACAAAAAAGAGAGGGAGAAATGAGTCAGAGCCACAACACAGGTACGTTCCCACTGCAGGCCATGGAGTCAAGGGAATGACAGGATAATCATGCCTGGAACAGAGGGCTGTGATACAGCCATGTTCAAAGTGGGTCAGTGTCCAGGAGGGAGGACACACCAGACCTAAGAGCTCTGGGCCACCTCCTAGACACAGTGCTCTGGAAGCTGGGTGTGGGGTGAATCCACACTTGCTGAGGAGGTTGTAGCTAGAGGAGAAGCTGGTGCAAGCTGGCACATCACAGATGCAAAGGCCCAGAAGCATGAAGAGGAAAGCTTGTTTCAGGAGTGGCAGTGTATATTCAGTGTGGGAGAGGCATAGGAAGGATGAGGGAAGAGGAGAGATGAGGCAAGAAAGCCTGAGTGGGCAGATATATCAAAATACAAGTCACAAATTGGTCACTTGGTGGGAAGGAACAGAGGCAGGGATAGCTTGAAAGATGTAAATGCAGCGTCAACAGAATGTAGCCATAGCTAAATGAAGAGGGCAGAGGAGGACTGGGTCCTTGAGGGATGACTCTGGGGATCTGGCTTAGATGCCTGGATATGCTGTGAGTCATCAACTCAGATAGTGTTTACGGGAAAGGAACAAGGGAGTAAGAATGGGGTGTGGGAGGGGTGATGAAATAATGAGTTCAATCATAAACCAAAGCAGACTTTAACAAATTTACACTCTGAGACATAAAATAAACCGTAACAAATTTTTAAAAATTGAAATCATACAAAGTATATTTTCTGAACCTAATGAAATTAAACTAGACGCCAATAACAGAAAAGTTTCTGGGAAACCCCAAATGTTTGGAAATTAAATATACTTCTAAATAAGCATGAGTCAAAGAGGAAGCCTGAAAAAATATCAGAAAATATTTTAAACTGAATGAAATATAACATACCAAAATTTGTAGGATGCTTAGATGTAGCAGTGCTTTAGAGGGAAAGCCATAGCATTAAATGTTTACATTACAAAAGAAAAGGGTCTCAAATTAGTAAGTGAAGCTTCTACTTTGAGACAGTGGGTAGGTAAAGCAAATTAAAATCCACTCCAAGCAGAGGAAAGAAAATATACAGAGCAGAGACAATGAAATTGAAAACAGAAAACAGTAGAAATAACTCAATGAAACTAAAAGCTAGTTCTTTGAAAAGACCAATGAAATTGATAATACTCTAGCCAGACTAGCCACAAACAAAAGAGAGATGACACAGATTACTAATATCAGGGGGAAAAAATGGGACATCACTACAGGCCCTACAAACTCTTAGAAGGTCATAAGGGAACACCACAAACAACTTTTAAAATATCCAGTGGCTTTGATAACAAGGAGATTATACTTATTGCAATAAGAACAGTTTCAGCAGAGTAGATTAGAATGGGCCAGAATGGGCTAAAGAGAAAGGAGTGGAGAATACGTAGAAGCAAAGGATCAAAACAGACAACTCTTCCAATAAGCTTATGAGGAAGAGTAAAGAATGGGAAGGGAGTAACTACAGGTAAGAGGGGCAGCTTTCTGGGGAAAGAACTGTGCCCACCTTTGTAGACCAAGAGGAAGACTCTAGCGGAGAGAAGTCAATGATACTGGGGTAGGAGGAAGGACCAAAGGCAGTCTGTCTTAGAGGCAGCTGGAGGGGATGGACTAGCACCAGAGTGGCTTACTCTGCACAAGACACGTCAGGCAGGAACACACAAGGACAAGCAAGAACACAGATGAGGATTGGTAACTAAATCACGCTTGCCACTCAAGAGTTTCATATTTCTTTAGAACACAGAAAGACTGTCAAAAGCTAAGATTCTACAACAGAGCACTGCCATTAAGTAGCATTCTTAAGACTACTTAAGAGTCATATGAGTTGCAGAATAGCTGAAAAAGACTAGACTTGTGATATCATGAAGGAGTCTGCATACTTTTTCTGGAAAGGGCCAGTAATATAGGGCCTGTAGTAATATCCTCCTCTTTTTTCCTGATATTAGTAATTTGTGTCATCTCGCTTTTGTTTGTGGCTAGTCTGGCTACAGTATTATCAATTTCATTGGTCTTTTCAAATATTAATATTTTAGGCTTTGCAGGCCAACAAGCAAAATCAAAGACCTTATAAAGATACTTATATGCCAAAGAGAGAAAACACTGTACCCACCTTGTACTCCTAAATTGTCTGGGGTGGGTCATCTGGGGTGGGTCATCTGGGGTCTACTAGAATCATATGTGGGACAAAAAGCCACCAGCCTGCGGAGGGTCCTGGTGAGCCAGGCCAGTAGGTGGTGATAGTGGCGTAGTGCGGGTCAGTTTCAGTTTTTGCTCAGCAACCCCAGATCCTGGTACACCCTCCTCTCCTCCTCAGAGCCTGGTCAGTTCAATTTGGGCAGCTTGCTGGAGGCTCAGCAACCCGAGTAGCTGACTAAAAACCCCATGACTGGGTCCTGGTAACTACCAACAGTCGCCATGTGTAGTGGCCACTAGCACATGCCCTGAGAAGCAATGGTGGGAGCGGAGAGGGAAACGGGGAAGGGGTGAAGAGGGGATACCCCAGCTTCATCTCTGTGACTCACAGCACTAGCCTCCTCGAGTAGTGCCTGGGCCTTACAAAAGCCAGTGGCTAGCTGCAATACATAGGCTGGAGTTTGCTAGACTCTGTTCCAGTGCCTCTAGACACCTCAAGTAAATTTTGAAGAACAATCTTAAAAGTGCAAATAGCACAGAAATTCTTTAAAATCCAATGTTCCCTTTTACACTCACATTAGTCTCAATGAGTTTACTAATAATGCTTCATATCACCTCTCCTCCTTTGAAGCTCACTATCAGTAGTATTAACAGTAAATGGAAATTTTTTACTTAGCTAATTTTACTTACTGATTTTACTTAGTCTTTTCCTGAGTTATAAAGGTTTTGCTTCAGGAAATAAAAAGCTTTAAAACTCAGACTGGTTAAACTGCATGAGCTTTCTGAGAATTCATTATTCTTCCTACCTTAGAGTTGATAACTATAAGTAGATGAGATATGATGCATCATGTAACATATCTCAAAATAAGAGACGAGAAGGGAAGATATATCCCATTTATAGAACCTACCCTCCCAAATTTTGAGATCTTCCTCAGTGACATAGGCATTGGCCCCCCAGATCACCATCTTGTGGATGTAAGATGGATATTTTGCAGCAGCAATGAGTGCAGTTATGCCACCATCACTCCATCCCAGCAGAGAGATCTTCTTAAACTTCAGTGTCTATGATGAATACAAGATGCACAGCATAAGTTACTGCTCCTTCCTGCTAATAGAACATGCAAATCAATAACGGTCAGAGGCTGGAGCAGTGGCTCACACCTGTAATCCTAACACTTTGGGAAGCCAAGGCAGGAAAAACACTTGAGGGCAGGAGCTCAAGACCAGCCTGGGCAACATAGCAAGACCTTGTCTCTACAAAGATAAAAAAAATTAGCTGGGCAAGGCAATGTGCACCTGTAGTCCCAGCTACTCAAGAGACTGAAGCAAGAGACTCTTTTGAGCCCAAGAGGCTGAGCTGCAGTGAGCTATGATGACACCACTCTACTACAGCCTGGGTGATAGAGCAAGATCCCAATAATAACTGTCGTAAGAATCAATACAGATGTGGGGTTTGGAGTATCAATCTGAAACAAACAAACAAAAATCTTAGAGTATACTATGTGATTACATAATGTTTTCTCTCAATTAGCTCTGGTGTAAATATAATTGTTACAAAAATTTGAGCCCATAGGATGGGTTTGAATTATAAGAGAACCACATCTTCAGGATGTATCTTGTGGATTAAATCTCAAAAAGCTAGAATCAATGGACAACAACCATACTTAAAAATTACAAATACAGTGAGTGTGTGTGTGTTGTGTGCAGGTGCATGCAGGCATGGGCATACCCATATGTGCCTTAGCAAGGACTTTGAGAACAGTTCTGCAGATCAGAGAAGGAACCTTGAGATCTGCTGGATGAAGTGAAGCAGACCATCTGGTAAAGCCACTGACTGTAACTGTGGGAAGAATTGGCTAGGGCCAGGTTGTCAGAGGATGGTGGGGAGGTTATGTTAGTCCTCAAGTGAATTAATCAGCAACTAAAAATGTGTTTGGCAGGAAAAAGGGACAGAGATTACATCTGAGAGAGGCTGCTTAGAAGGAAGACTAGAGTGACTAAGAAAATTAAAGGTGAAGAATTAACAAATATTAGTCTAAGATATTTACTGCCAGGACTTTAAATTGGCATAACTAGTATGGATAATAATTTGGCACTATCTTGTAAAATAAACCTTTGTATCTTCTTCCACCCAGCACGTTGTTTCCTAAATTGTATGAGGCTCTTCCAACATGTGTGCTAGAAGCTTGGTCCAGAATGGCCACAATAACAGTGTTTATAACAGCAAAAGAACAAGAATGAAAATGGCCACGGACAAAAGAATGTTCACAGCATTGCTATTTATAATGACAAAAAAGGCAACTTAAAAATCACATTAATAATCTATTAGAAGATAGGTGAAATAAGACACAGTACGTCCATATAATGGAATAATATGTACCTGTTATAAGACTGATGTACGCACATATTTATTTATGCAAAAGTACTTCCTTGATAAATTGTTCAATGAAAACAGTAAGCTGGAAAAACATTAGGTATAGTGTGATGCCATCCATGTAAAACTGTGCAAGTATGTGTGTAATAAGAGTGGCCAGAAAAGCAGAGCAGTCAGTCTCGGTAGTGGTATGTCTAGATAGCTGGGTTGTGGGCTATTTCTACGTTCTTCTTTATACCTAGTTGAACTCTTTGAATTTTCTATAGAAATCACATGATATTACCTTTATAGAAAGAACAAAAATTGAGGAAAAAAAATAGACAAGCCCAGATACCCTCCTTCCCCTGGGAATTTCCCTGATACCAACCTTCATCAAGTCAACGGCATCTTTTGCATCCCTTTCAAAAAAATCCACTGGAAAATCTCGGTCTGGGGGCCTGGAATGTCCATACCCTCGAGGATCCCAGGCAACCACCGTGAAGAGCTTCTTACTTAGGTTCTTGAGTTGGGGTCCAAAATCAGTCTCTCCACTTCCTAAAATCAGCCACTTGATTACCCTCAAGCGAACACTTTCACTGTACCAAACACATTACAGTGAAAACAGAGCAGTAACAATCTTAAAGCAAAATCGCTCATTTCTACAGGAAGTTAGCCCATCAGAATGCAATCCGGAAAACTGCTTACAAGGACTGAATCCATTTACTTGGTGGCTGACTTCCTTTCCTGGTGGAGTTTGGACCTGCCTCCTATCTCCCCCTGGTGTCTATTTCGAGAACGAACAGGCCCTGATTCTTCCTTTGGTCCTGTATTGTTTCAGTGCTTTTGATAACTCTTCTTAATCTTTTTTTTTCTTTTAAGAATTAATGAAACTGTGTAGATATAAACTTACAGATATATGCTTCTGGGTTATTTTTTCTTTCTTTTTTTAAAAATAAATGACTTACAAATGAGAGAGATCTCTGTATCTGTAAACAAATGTATAAGATTTGATCCAAGTTATTCAAATAAAATTCTAAAATTCCAATTTTTTTTTTTTACTAAACTAATGCAAATATCCCTGAAAATTTTATTTTACTGTTATAATTAAAAGTCAGAAAACTAAACTGGGCATGGAGGGAAGAAATCAAATTAGTCTATTTCACTGAAACAGTACAAAACAACCTACGTTAACAACATATGAGGGGAGACCAAAAAAACCCAGAATTATATTTTGGAGGCTGGACCCCTTGTAGTACAGGTTTCTCTGGCTAGGTAAGTGTTCTAGGAACCCACTGGCATCAGCTAGGCACTGTTGTGAGAGGCTGCGTTCAGTTTCAGTGAATTTTTTTCAGAGATTCTTTCAATGTGTTTGCCCATTTCATGATGGGTGATTTAAAGTGCACCTGCCCCCACCATGCTGAGTGTTCAGCAGTTTTTGACCAAAAACGACATGACCTCCGTGTCTTTCTATTCAACCAAGCTTGCTGAGCGACTTTCGTTTCCCCGGATGAAAAAAGTCCTCAAAGGGAAATGTTTTGCCAACGTGGAAGAGGTAAAACAAAAAATGGCAGAAGCACTAAAATGTATCAAAATTGACGAGTTCAAAAACTGTTTTGTGCAGTGGAAAAAGCATCTCAATAGGTGTATTGCATCAAAGAGAGAATACTTTGAAGGTGACTGAAGTTTAAACATATTATAAATACACAATTTTTATAAATAAATTATAGGTTTTGGGGGTTCCCCATTGTGTTCTTGAGCCTGTGGTGGACTTGACTGGCAATGCCCAGCCTGCCACATGATCACTGTAGGCTTGCTGTGTCCACACTGTAGATGTGGCCCACAGCCTGGAAGGCCACTCTCAGAGAGCTCAGTCCAGGGGCAAGTCAGCATTTTATCTGTAAAGTCTGCTAACTTCTGAGGGAGGACTCATGGCTCAGGCCACAAATAAGGCTAAATACTTTGTCTCATAAACTAGCTATGCTATAAAATGTCCTTCAAGATGGGGCATGATCATTTAACATGACCTAGGCCCATCACCCTTCCTGAAAAGATATCTTTCTCAAGATCAGGCAAATCACTCGGAAAACCCAAGTCAAAAACAAATCAATGGATCTCCAGCCTACGTGTACTGTTTTGACCTGAGCCTTCTCTTCTGGTCCCTGGCTGGAGGGACTTCTGCAGGGGAACAACCCTGAAGAGGGACAGGAGGTGAGAAGACAGGAAAAGGGAACAACTTAAAAGACCAGTTTCAGAAATAAGAAGACATACGCTTTCTGGCACACATGTACACATTTGAAGACCAGTGCCAAGAATACTAAAACCTTAAGAAATGTTTAAGGAATCTACATACATAGTTATCTATCTGTACATGAAGCCTGAGAAGCCTGTGGGGAAGGGAACTGGGTGCTGAAGGCAGGACAGGAGAGAGAATCTCACTGCTCCTTTTTTTAAATTTGGGAATTATGTTCATGTTTTACATAAACAAAACTAAATTGGTGAGATTTTTTATGGCTGGATAATGATTGCAATACTGAAATCATGGAAAGCCAAGTCAAGAAATGTTTTCCCGGATAACTAATTCTACATCAGCCATCAGTAAATGTCCTCCTTCCTTACAAACAGCTTAAGGAAAACAATGGTGCTAAACACCTTCTAGACCAAGATACCTCAATAGTTACAACCGTGCTACAATCAGCCAAGGCTCAGGCACATGGAACCAGCTGTAGACTAAGAAGTATTTAGCATTTGACTCTTAGAAAAAGCAAATCACAAGGAAAGAAGTACGGTCAGCCCTCTGTATTCGTGGGTTCTGCACCCATGGATTCAACCACCCTGAGATAGAAAATATATATATTTTTTAAAGTGGTTGTGTCTGTACTGAACATGTATAGAATTTTGCCATTATTCCTCAAACAATATAGTATGACAACTGTTTACATGACATTTACATTGTACTAGGAATTATAAGCAAACCAGAGATGACTTAAAGTATGCAGGCAGATGTGTGTTGGTCATATGCAAATACCACACCATTTTATATCAGGTGCTTGAGCATCCTGGCTTTTAGTATGCTTGGGAGTCCTGAAACCAATCCCCCATGGATACTGAGGGACCACTGTACATACTGGGATTATTTCACTATATCAAAAATAAAGCAACAATACTAAATACAATTTGAGATGTCCTGGGCTCACTGGAAATTTTCCCCCTGAACTCTCTACAGCTGAACTACTGTTCTGTGAAATGAGACTGAGATCCAGTGGGCTTTCTTACATCCCATACATTGAGAGAGGCTAATATGCTAATCTAATTTTCATTTTCAAAAAGACTTTAAACCAAGTTTTCTTCTTACCTCTTATTTTAATTGAACATATTATTAGCCACAACAGAGTGACCAATTCATCCTGGTTTTAGGACTAAAAGTCCCTGGAAAACCCCTCAATGCCAGGCAAACAGGGATGGCTGGTCACCCATTCTCCTTCGTTTCCCTTTTATAGTTTCCCCCTTTCCTGGACCCCTGTCAACCTCCCAGATTATGGGCAATTGTACTTTCACAGTTCACAGCATGGGAACAACTGGGTGCTTCAAGGAATAAAAAATATATTTGCTGCAATCAAACTTGGGTGATTTAGAAAAGTCTAGCAAATTTTATTTAAAACATTTCAGCAACGTACACTAAAATTAATAATCAATATTAGGCACCTAGTATTGGAATGCATCACAGATTATACAGCATGCAAGAGTATGCCATTAAAAAAGTCCAGACCCAACATCCCAGGAAGCAGTAGGACTGCATGCTCTCCCTCTCCAGTCTGCTGATAATGCAGGTGAACACCATTCACAGCCACTTTGGCAGAGGTTACTGAGGTGCTAGAAGAAAAAAACAAAAAACACCATCCCCCACAGGGAGAAGGGGAGTTAGGGAGAAATTTGTGAAAGAATACAAAATTACACCTACATAGGAAGCATAAATGCCAGTGTTCTGTACCACTGTAAGATGGCTATAGTTAACAGTAACATATAATTTCAATAACTAGAAAAAGGATGTTAAATGTTCCCAGCACAAATAATCAATGTTTGAGATGATAGGCCAATTACACGGATCTAATCACTATACATTATATGTATTGAAACACCACTGTGCACAAGAATATGTATAATTATGTTCATTTTTTAAAACAAAATATTTTTTCAAAAACCCGTTCCCAAAGGAAAATTATTTAGCAGTACAAATTTAATATGACAAAATTAGCCAGGCTCGGTGGCTCAGCCTGTAATCCCGCGCCTTTGGGAGGCTGAAGGGAGTGGATTGCCTGAGCCCGCGGGTTCGAGACCCGCCTGGGCAGCAAGACCTCATCTCTACAATAAACCAAAAAATCAGCCGGGCGTGGTAGCGCATGCCTGTAATTCCGGCTACTTGGAAGGCTGAGGCGGAAGGATCGCCGGAGCCCAGCAGGTCGAGGCTGCGGTAGCCGGGAGCAGCCACTGCACTCCAGTCTGGGTGACAGAGTGAGACTCCAACTCAAAAAAAAAAATGACAAAATTGCCTTTTATATGCATGAGCCAGCTCCGGGACCCCTCTCAAGTTTTTTGGACTTTTTGGATTTGAACCTCCGCTTTCCAATTCTGAACATTGACATGAATGTGCATCTTCCTACCAGACTGCAGACTGAACTGTGCCTTCATGCTTGAATACGCTACAGCATCCAGCATAGGGCTCATCCTACAAAAGCACTGGGAGGCTTGCTGAAATCAGTGGCTATCTAGGCCTATGGCACACACGAGTGCGGTGGAAGCCAGGGGTGTCCCAGGGCAGGCTAGCACGAGGACTCCACACAGTAAAATGTGAGGGTAGGCATCAGGAGCTCAGACCCTGGAGCACTCATCTGCACCTCAGTTGACCTAGAGGAGCCACCACTCCCAAGGATGAGGTTGATCCAGGGGCTCCAAGACCTTGATCTCAAGGCTGCCTTTCAGATGAAGGGTTTCTTGTGTTGTCTGGCCGCCTACAGGAGGACTACAGTCAGGAAACCCATCTGCACTGATATGGTCACACTGGCTTTTAAGATGTTGAAATATTTCTGTGTTGACTGTGAAGTAGCCACAACCATAAGCCCCATCTCAAGAGCCCTCTTTCCTGCCACAGGACTCGGGACATGGCTAATGCCAGTGTCTGTCCTGCCTGAATGATGTGTGTTCTGATTAACTTCTCCTGAGTTGTTCTTCCGGCAGCTCCAGAACAGACTGTCCAGGGATATACACAACAGAGTACGTACGATGCCCCTGCACCAGGCTCCAACAACCTCTCCACCAATTCACCAGACAGATGAGTGAATGGCATGCTGAAGGGACATTGTGGCATGCCAAGACAGTTGCTAGAGGGAGCCACTCCTCTTCTAGTGAGTAGTTGATACATTCAAATCAACCGCTGCCTCCTTTTCCTTGCAATACCCTACCCTACTTCTGCTCTTAGACAAAATGATTTTTTTTTCTTGTGATGTTATGTGCACCCCCCCGGCAGTGTTCCACTATAGTCAAAATGATTATTGAAATGTAGCACTTCTGAAAAACCAAGGTCCTGTTTCCTCTTTTGGCTTCATCTTATTAGCCAAATTCATACAAGAAACAAAACGCAGAAACAAATGTGTTGATCTGATTTTAAAACACAATTTCTGGAAAAATATGACATAATTAGGTAGTAATAAGGCCTGACTTACCTACAGAAATATTATTAGACGAGCAATAATGAAGACACAGAACAATGGCAATGTGATAGAGACACTGCCAATTCACTCACTGTTAATGTCCTATTCCTCTAAGAATTCACTTCTAGGGCTAAAATGGCTTGAACAGCTTAGGGTCGAGATAGAAGAAGAGAAATGCACTCTACTAATAGAGACTCATTTCAGCAAGCATTTGCTCATTGAACAAATGGACTTTACATGGACTTCTTTCCTTTAGCTTCCAGGACCATTCCCAAGTCCTGCCTACAAAACACCTCTAACGTCCCTCTGCACTTTGCTGTATCCATGTTTGACGTTCCATTCCAATAAACAGATAAACAAATGCTTACTGAAATGAGTCTTTATTTGGAGCATCTGCTTCACTCATAATCTAGTAGGAGAGAGACACAGGGGACTCACGCTGCAAACCCTCAGTGAGGACTGAGGACAAGCAAGTAGTGAGGCAGGTAGGTGGAATAAAAGTTCTTAACAGTGTGTCCTGCGTTTACTAAATTAAATGAGGTAACTCCCTAGAAAAAGACAACCAGCGCCTATACGGTTCATGTTAGTACTCATGTGTATAACATCACTGTTTCCCTTTATTGCTCCTCATGTCCTGGAAATGTCAGGGACTTCATTCCTTAAAGTGCCAAGGACATGCTAGTAAACATTACTTTGCACTGCGGGCTAGTAGGTGTAATGAGAAGACCCCTCCCTGTCTCTCTCACCACGGAAAGCCAGTTGGTTTTCAGGACTGGTGTTGCTGCCTCGTGCTCTCTGGGCCAGTCCCAGGGCACTGGCTCACATGGGCTTATTTCCTTCAGCTTCCACGACCATTCCCAAGTCCCTTCTGCAGAACACCTCAAAGTTCCCTCAGCACTTTACTGTACCTATATTTTGATTTCCCATTCCAAATTACTTTTTTCCTAATTATCACCATCCTATATTCTTTTGGTTACCTAAAAAGAACACAGAAACAAAACGAGGTAGAGTTCAGTATAATGGGAACTCAATGCTGGAGAAGAATTTACAAAGGCAGAAGACCTGGACGGTGGCTTTAGAGGAGAAAGAGATCATATCAGGGTTGGGTAGCTGTATCTGAGAAGAGAGCAAAAGTAGCATTTGAGATGAACTTCCAAAGATGGGTAAAATTCTGGAAAAAAAAATGTGGTGGGGAAGGGATTTCTGGAAAATGAAATAGCATGATCACAGGCTCATGAGCAAGGGACATTCATGGGAACAAGCCAGGGTGCTGCCTAGCAGGAGTGTAAAGCCAGAGAGAAAATGAAGGTTGGGCTGAATGGTGAAGGGCTTGAAAGCTAGGCTAAGGGGAAAGAAAAAGTCCTTAGTTATTATTCTTCAACATCTCATACGTCCATCATACAGAGGTACCTGCCAGTACCAGGCCATCCCCAGGGGTTCACAGAGGCTGCCCAAAACCTGTCATGAACTCCAAGCTGGGAAAAAGGACAGAAGACTGTTTATGAACAAAGGCAAATCAATTTCAAACATAAGAAAAAGGTCCATTTTTAAAGATAACAGAGTTACGGAATGCTGATTTATTTTCACAGAAATGTAAGATAACTGAAATGAGTACAGCATTTGCTCCAGTTTATCAAGAAGCCTCTTATCAGGCCTCAATCAACATTGTTATACATAGTTGTAAGAAAATCAGGCTGCAGCCAGGTGTGGTAGTCCACACTCCTAATCCCAGCACTTTGGGAGGCTGAGATGGGGGGAGATCACTCAAAGCCAAGAGTTCAAGATCAGCCTAGGCAACACAGCAAGACTCCGTCTCTACCAAAAAAAAAAAAAAGTTGGGTCCTAGTTACTCAGGAGGTTGAGGCAGGTGAAGCATTTTAACCCAGGAGTTTGAGGCTGCAGTGAGCAATGATCATGCCACTGCAATCCAGCCTGGGCAACAGAGTGAGATCCAGTTTTTAAAAAAGAAAGAAAGATCAGACCACAAAAACCAAGCCTTCAATGATCCTAACATGTGTTTATTACTTGAACTACTTTCAATATACTCTCAGGTAGGAAAAAAGATAGAAAACTTTGCAAAATTCAACGAACAAAAATGAATCCTTTCTCCTTGGGCTGTCAATTTGTCTCTTCCACCATTTCTTCCCCTCCTCATAATTGTTTCTCTAGTCCAGGTGTTCTTAAGCAGGTATGTTCACGATAATTACTTGTGGTGATTTAAAAACAAACACACCTGGCCGGGTGCAGTGGCTCACACCTGTAATCTCAGCACTTTGGAAGACTGAGACAGGAGGATTGCTTGAGGCCAAGAGCTCAAGACCAGCCTGAGCAACATAGCAAGACTTTGTCTCGACTAAAAAAAAAAAAAAAAAAAAATCAAAAAAATTAGCTGGGCAGGAAGGTGCACGCCTGTAGTCCCAGGTACATGGAAGGCTGAGGTAGAAGAATTGACTAAGCTCAGGAGGTCGAAGCTGCAGTGAGCTGCCATGATTATGCCACTGCACTCCAGTCTGGGTGGCAGAGTGAGACTCTAACACAAAACTAAACTGAACTAAGCTACAATCACACACACCTAGCACAATCCTGGAAAACTATATCACTCAGTTACTCTGGGTCAGAGCCCTTGTATCTGTTTTCAAAAACACCCAAACTCTACTGTACTTTTCATTAATCTATTTCCTAAACACCTGTTGTGTGCTGGGAGCTAAAGGCACACTCTCATGTAGCTTGGAGGCCAGCAGGAAAGATGGATAAATAACCTGCTTACCAGGGTTTACCCTGCAGGGTGCAAAATACTAAGAAAGAAAAGCCAAGGAGTAGAGGGGACCCTGGGGCACAAAGGGACAACACCAAGCTCACTGAACCTTCACAACATCACCACAGCTGCCCACATGGCCCCTTCTACAAGGGCATCTCCTGCTTCCCACTCTATCAGTGGGACTCAGACTTAGATTTGAACCGTCTGGCAAACTTTTAAATCTCAGATGCCCAGGCTGCACTACATCAAAATCTCTGGGGTGGGAGCTAAGTATCTGTGATTTTTTTCTTAATTACCTAGAGGATTCCAATAGGCAACTAAGGTTGAGAACGACTATACTGAGTTAATTCCTTAGAGGAAGGAATTAACTCCCTTGTAAAGCATGTTGTCCTAATATCTACTCTTGACTTGCTTTTTCTGGGAGGTTGGATAAGCACTTTCATGAAAGGGAAGGAGATAAGGAACAATACAATGGTATTGGGAAGGGTTGAGCTGTTCCCCTCAAAAAGGGAGAATTTACCGTAGAGAGAGGCAAGGATATAACAGCTTAGGCAAATAATTAAACCACATCGTATGCACTCTGTTAAGAGTTTTACCTATCCCATTCATTTTGCTCCGAGGTACACATTATACTTAGCCTTATTCTACTACTGAGGATCAGGGAATTTGCCTATCACACTGCAAAGCCAAGAAGGTACCAGAGTGCTGTCCCCAGAGCCTCTGCTCTTCCGCACTTTGCTAGGAAATAAGAATGGGGCCTATTTAATAAGACATACCCTCACTTTGAAAGCCTAAACACAGTACTATATGTTCAGCTATTTCTTTTGTGTATTTTTTCCAAAGTAGCCATTAGCTACAATGAAATATTAACTACTTCCTCCCTCACCAGGGCTTCGATTTACATAAATTGTGATGACTTTGTTTACATTCTTTGTATATTGTATTATTATTTAGATATTCCAATTATACCTACTAATTATTTAATATTTATTATGTCCCAGGACTTTTATATCCATTGTTTCAAATCCTCACAAAAACTCTGCAAGGCAGAAGGTATGGAGAGGTTGAGTAACTCGCTCACATTCACATAGCTAAGAAGTGGCAACACAGCCATAATTCCTCCAGTCTGAACTTAAGGCTGAACAGAGTTCTCAATCAGCCTCAGGCCCAGGGTCACACTCATCCTAACTGCCAGACAGAGGATGGTGGCAGGTGTCAGCAGAAGACCGGTCTCTGATTCTCTAGCAGGGCATCCCAAGGTTGAATTTGGTAAAAAATTTTCTTCAGGAAAATTGTTAAGTTCTATAAATCATCACTATTTTAACTGCACATAACATACAATTTCAGGTAGAAAGCTGTTCTTTTTGTTTGACCCAGAATCACCTTACAGATTATGAAATAAGGAAAGGATCAAAGTTCCAAACAACAGACTTACAAACAAGTTTTTGGTACTAGCTATTCTGCCAAACTTTTTACAAGAGTGCTTTTACCTACTTGGGCTGCAGCCTCATTTCAGGATAATCATTACCACTGTTTTTTTCCCCAGATAACATATCATATCAACCCGCAGCTGCATTTATAAAATAGCAGCACACAATCCAGAGAAACCTGTTTTTCGGATATTTTAGGAAGAATGATCTGCATGCAGTGCAGCGAGGTAGATGGGACCTTCCTGCAACCATTAAATAACCTATTGGAACTATGACACCGGTATAATCACAGTAACCTTATTTCAAACCCTTTCTGCAAACCGGTAACTGGATTAAGAAATGTCCCCTTTTCACTGTTGATTAATACAGTTGTAGCCATGGACATGTTTTCCCACTCATCAAAACAGTCCTGAAAACCTCCTAATAACTCTAAAATAACAACAGGAGTCTAAATCAAATATGATAATAGCTAGTCAAACCTGAAAAGTAAAAAGCTGGTCAGATATGTCTTCATTTCTCCTTCCCAAGTAAGTTTTCAAGCTGGAAGTTTCTACATTAGATCAAGTAAAGTTCTAAATGATAAGTTACCTATCTAGTATTGACTTTGTTCCCTAGTCATTAATGGAATGACTCATCAGCGACTGACTGCATACATGCCTTGTGTACATTTTTGTGTATAAGTGTGTTTATGCGTGTGGGTATAGAGAACACAGTAAAACAAGCTTCATATGCACATTTTCCCCCATTATCTCTTGGGACCAAGAGCACCCATTTTCAAGACAACAGGTCAAAGTAATCCAATTTTTTGTTGTTACTGTTGTTTTATCTGAAATGGGAGGAAAGGGGGGAGAGCAAAACAGAAAAAAAGCACACCTTACTGGGCATATCCACACCCCTACATAAGATCCTCCGGGAGTGAGGTCAGGGATTCTGAATTCTCAGATTCCCAAGGTGACTCTTGCACTTTTTTTTTTGTTTGTTTCCAGATCAGCAAACAAAGAAGATGCAGGGGACTTGGGACCTGAGACTTAATCTTTAACAGTACTAAGAGAGCTAACAGGTCATATTCTTAGGATGATTTCTGGCATAAGATGTAGGAGAGATTAATGTCCTTATGCTCCTACAGCGTGGAGTCTGGACAGAGCAATGGACTACGAAAAAGGGCTCTGCGATTCTAATCTGTGTTCCTTCACGAGTGCGTCTGTGGCCAAGAGCAAATGTATCTCCCTGGATCTCTTTCGTCTGTTCACCGAAGATGCTGTACTCGACAACCGCCCAAATCCTCTAAGGCTCCAGCGCCACAGAACTGAGACTGATGCATGACCAAGATGCCCTCTCACCCAAGTTCGGCGGGCTCGCGGGTGTGGGGTCTCATGGTATAAGGGGCGACCAGAACGCGACCACAGCCCTTCCCTGCGCCGCCCAGTCCACCTGGGGCCAACGCACAATAGGCCAGTTACCCCTAGAGCGCGCTGATGCGGGAGTTCCCCCATGGGTGACGGGTGTCATTACCCAAACGAGGCCGCCGGCCGGGCCCGGAGCACGTGCATCCCAGGCTTCAACGCCGAGAAGAGCAGCCGCAGCCGCGTCTCACCCCTGTGGGATAGAGAAACCGCCATAGTCCAAAAGTCACGCAGCAGCAGGAAGTGCGCATGCGCAGAGGTCTACGGCAGTCCCCCGGCCACGCCCCACCCCGAAGCCACGCCCCACCCCGCCCTATCTCGACACCACGCCCAACCACGGCCCGCCGTTTTCCGACACCACCGCCCTCAGCCCGCCCTCCACCCGCCCTGCTGGACGCCCCTCCCCTCGGGGCTAGGTCGCCTCTGTTCCGGAACCCGCCGGCACCCCAGCACAAAACTGCTTACGGTGCGAGCTGTGGCTCTCCGGGTGGGTGTCCCGGTCAGCGCCGCCCCGCCCCCACCCGTCGCCACAGTGACTGTGGTCAATCCAGGAGGCGAGGTCTCCCGCCATCCCGTGGGCATCCAGGCAGGGCTCAGGAGGGGAGAGGCGGGACACCGGCTCTATGGCTGGCAGCTAACGGTGGGGTGACGTGCTCTTACTTTGATCTAAATGATGAGATCGAAATTTTTTTCCTTATACCACTTCACACCCATTAGGATGGGTACAAAAAACCCCCAGAAATTAGCACTGGTGAAGATGTAGAGAAGTTGGAACCTTTGTGCACGGCTGGTGGGAATGTAAAATGGTGCAGCCACTGTGGTGAAAGTACCTCGGTTCCTCAAAAAATTAAATATAGGATTGCCATATGATCCAGCAATTCCATTTCTGGGTATATTCGCCAAAAGAACTGAAAGCAAGACCTTGAAGAAATATGTGTCCATCTATATTTATAGCAGCATTATTCGCGATAGCCAAAATGTGGAAACAGCCCAAGTGTCCATCAGCAGATGAATGGATGAACCGACTGTGGTCATACATACAACAGAATATTATTCAGCCTTAATAAGGAATAGTAAGGGCTGACACATGCTACATCATGGAAAAGCCCAGAGGACATTATGCTAAGTGAAGTAAGTCAGTCACAAAAAGAACAAATGCCATATGATTCTGCTTATATGAAGTACTTAGGGTAATCAAATTTATGGAGACAAAGTAGAATGGTGGCTGCTAGGGGGTAAGCCAGGAGAGGAGGGAATGGGGAGTTGGTGTTTCATGGGGACAGTTTCAGTGTGGAGAGATGAGAACAATCTGGAGATGGATGGTGGTGATGGCTGCACAACTTTGTGAATAAACCTAATGCCACTAAACTGTACACCTAAAAATGGTTAATGACTTTATATGTATTTTATCACAGTGTCTTTTTTCTTTGACTACATAATTCAAGCTTTATAAAGGTTATAGACATTATCTGCAACTGAGCTCCCATTCTTCCTTATCTTAACTGGAAATAACTGGCAGATTCATAGCTACTATTGTGTCCTTGGCTTGAATTATTGGAGACCACAGCCTTTCTGAATACTGCTTTATTTTTCCTCCATGATATTCTTCTTGTGTAATAATTCGCATGCACAATACTTTAACATGCCAGAGCAATGGAAAGTTCTATTACCTGCAGTGTCCTCAATGGCCCATTGGAATTTCTTGAGTAATAAAAGCTGCTGTGGCCTAAATACAGAATGTGCAAAAATGTCTATATCTTCTTTTTTCTTTTTTGAGTCAGGGTCTCACTCTGTTCTCCTAGGCAAGAGTGCAGTGTGGCATGATCATGGCTCACTGCAGCCTCAATTTCCTGAGCTCAGGCAATCATCCTGCCTCACTCTCCTAAGTAGCTGGGACAAAGGTATGCACCGCCACACCCTGCTAATTTTTTGTTGTTTGTAGAGACAAGATCTTGTTATGTTGCCTAGACTGTCTCAGACTCCTGGATTCAAGCAATCCCCCCCCTCAGCCTCCCAAAGTACTGGGATTAAGGGTGTGAGCCACTGTGCCCAGCCCTTACATTCTACCGTCAACATAAACCTATCACATCAATTCCTGCATAGAAGGAAGGCAAAATATAAAATGTTTGAATTTAGTATCATTTGACTTTTAGAAATCTTTGGCGAGGTCAATATTTCCTTTTGAACTAAATTATTAACTGGGATTTGTCAGAGATGATGAGAGCTTAAAATAGTTGTCTGTACAATTTCATCACATTACCCTAGTGCTAAGCAAAGACAGTAGCACTGTGCTTTTAGGTATCAGTGTCACTGTTTATTGTTAAGTGCATATGTGAGATCTGGTTCTTCATATACAACAAGATTGAGCAGTTTAAAAATAACTGCCATTTTTGTGCTTGGCACTTTATGATACATCAACCTTATGTGCTATTGCCCTCCTCATTTATAAATGAGGAAACTGAGGCTAAGAAAATTTAGGAAGCAAACCCCAGGTCACGCAGCTGAAGAGTGGCAGAGAATTTTGACCTGTTTAATTTCAGAATGATGTACTTGGATTATTAAGTATTATAGAACTCACTGTAGTAGCATCATTCCTTCAATGATTTCTTTGTAATCAGCTGCTTCTAAAACTGGAATATTTACACTCCTATTTTTATTTGCACTAGTATTAATATGAGAAAACTTTTTTCCTTATAAATAACAGACATTAAAATGTACATGAAAGGCTGGGCGTGGTGGCTCACGCCTGTAATCTCAACAATCTGGGAGGTTGAGGTGGGAGGATCACTTGAGCCCAGGAGTTCGAGACCAGTCTGGGAAACATAGCGAAACCTTGTCTCTGCAAAAAGTCAAAAAATTAGCCAGGTGTGGTAGCATGTACCTGTAGTCCCAGCTACTTGGGAGGCTGAGGTGCAAGGATCACCTGAGGCCAGGAGGTAGAGGCTGTGGTGAGCCATCGCACTCCAACCTAAGCAACAGAGACTTCAACTCAAAAAAACAAAATAAAACAAAACACTGTCTAAAACATTTTGTGAGGAAAACTTCTTATTCCTGAAGCCCTAACTTCACATGACAGACCCAAAGCAAAGGTTACAACCATAGTGATAAGGGAGACTGTGGAACTAGAAGTGGGTCTTATTCACCAGTAACAGCCTTGGGGAGTATCTTTTTTGGAACTAAGTATGGATAGTATTCTTTCTCATTTTATTTTATTTTATTTTTTGAGTTGGAGTCTCACTCTATCGCGCCCAGGCTGGAGTGCAGTGGCACACTCACAGCTACCGCAGCCTCGAGCTGCTGGGCTCAGGCTATCCTTCTGCCTCAGCCTTCCAAGTAGCTGGAACAACTGGCATGTACTACCATACCCAGCAAATTTTTTGATTTATTGTAGAGACGAGGTCTCACCAAGTTGCCCAGGCTGATCTCGAACCCCTGGACTCAGGCAACCCTCTCACCTGGGATTACAGGCTTGAACCACAGTGCCTGGCTCCTTGTTTTTCAGTCTGTGTGGTCTCACTGGGTTTGTGCCTATGAACAGCAGTGTTCTTATGGTACTGAAACTCTTCAAAGGCAAACTGGCTCTTTTCTGCCACATATGTTTACAGAGTAGAGATGAAGGGAAGGTCTCAAAGCATGCAGGGAGAACAGCAATGCTTCAGGCCTCTCATCCTGAGTCCCAAAGTGTGCTGTCTGGGACCTGCTCTTCTTTTTACCATCTGGCAGCAGCGGGAGGGTGAAAGAGGAGTAGTAATGCACAGGAAATGCCAACCTCTGTAGTAGAGGCATGGTGGAGAGTCGCAGACTGTTCCAGGTATGCAAACATACACATCATCTCAATGGCACGTAGTTAAAGTATAAAATTTTATTTTAAAAAGTACATTAAAAACACCTTGCATTTTTGCTTCTTTGCATTGATCATTCACCTCTTTGGAATTTAAGAGACTTTAGAACACTATTAGGATGATGGTGCAAGGAATACATTTAGAAAAGAAATCACCAATGTCCCTCTAGCAAAGGTTGGGCCCTTTCCCCTGCCAATCTCCCTTTCAGTCTGCAGGATCTAATGCTGTGTGGCAGCTAAGTAGTGAGCCTGGGTATGTGTGGGCAGGAGAACTGCAGCTCACTGCTTTACTGCTTTACAGCGGTGCTCTCAACCGGGGCAACATCACCTTTCCAAAGAATGTTTGGCAATATCTAGAGACATTTTTGTCACAACTGGAGGAGTGAGGGAGGAGAGGACCGTGCCCTTGGCATCTAGTGGACAGAGACCAGGGATGTTTCCAAACATCCTCCAAGGCACAGGACAGCTCCTAAAACAAAGAATTACTCAAGATGCCAAGATGTCAACAGTGCCCAGGTTGAGAAATCCTGCTTTACAGCTCCACTTCAGGTATACATGTGTCTGCTGGTCTTGAGGAGATTCAGGATCAGAACCAAACATACTGTTATCAACCCAAGACACCAGAAACTGTTCTGACAGCCAGACTGACCATCCCTGCATCCTGCCCTCTCTCACTTGGAAGAGCCAAGAACACAGCATCCCCTCTCTGTTTAGCAAAGTGCTGGCAGAGATGCCACATGGCCTGCTTGCTTCAGTCTTCTACCATTCTAGTTCTTTCATTCACCCCTAGTTTTCAGGTGGGCTTTGGAAGGTTGAGTGCAAGGCACAATTGCCAGATTCAGAAGCTGTCCTTTTTTTACTTCATATCACACAGAAAAAAATGAAAATATTTTGACAGTACATTGGGGTAAACTGAGGAAGCAATTCAATAGTGATTATCCCTGAGGTTCTAGTCATACCTAGGAGTAAAGAGACCAATAGTCCCTGTATACCATACCTACTCCCTATTCCTAGCACCCAGGTTGGGTGGAAGTACCAGAATGCTAAGAAAGAACTTAAAAATTAATGAAGAATTTCTGTAGTAGCCACAATTAGTAGCAAGTCCTTGCAACAACTGCCAGGGAAGGTCTAATGCCCTCCCCACCATTTTTTGCCCTCTTTAGTACTCCTTAAAATCCCTTCAGTTAATTTTCAAATTAACTGAATATAAATTCAATGAATTAAAAAATTAATCTATAACTTAATCTAATGGAGTGGAGATTGCATGGAATTCTTTTTTTTTTCTTTTTAGAGATGAGGTCTCACCAAGTTGCCAGACTGGTCTCAAACCCCTGGACTCAGGCAATCTTCTCGCCTCAGCCTCCCAAAGTGCTGGGATTACAGGCATGAGCTGCACGGATTTCTTAAAGGCTGCATGACTGATACAACATTTGATACTGAAATTAACAGATCCTATAATTTAGGGACAAACTATGGTTGTGATACCAAAAAAAAGTATTTGAACAAGACTTAGAATTTTACTGTACTCTGGTCATAACAGGAGCCTATGTGGAGAAGAGAGCACAAAATAAGAAAGTTGATTTATTTTATATTATCTAAATTTTTTTTTCTTGCACAAACAAAACTCCAGGAAATGGAATAGCTAGCATCATTGATGGCTATGGCATGAGCTGAAAGGAAATGGCCTTGCTTAAATATCTCCACTCTCCCTTTCAAAACCCAGCTGGGCTTCTTTTTTGATGGGTGCTGGACCACTAAGAGGTTTACACTTTCCTGAAAGTGGGTTGTTTGCTGCAGATTTCTCTTCCCATTGTCCAGCTATGAAATGCAAGAAGTGACATTTGTATAGACATGGAATCCCTATCAGTGAGAACAGAATTCTGAATGCTCCAAGGCAGCCCACTTTCACTCACGAAATGAAGAGTCTGCTTCAGCTGCCAAGGCCCGTTCAGGGTTAGTTCTGGGTGGCGTGGATCAAGTACTTCAGAAGGTCTTTTCTGGAACACTGGTAGAGCGCCCAGGCCAGCTTCCCCACTGTGGCCCCCTTATAGCCTTCCCTCATCAGCCACTTTTGGAGCATCTGGTAAACCTTTTCTTTTAGTCCGTCTCGCTCATAGTCATGGTCAATTTCATCAATCTGAGATTGAGTGAAGCCCAGTTTACGGGCACAGTCTTTCCATTGCCTTCCCAGATTTTCCCTGACTGGGTCCAGGTGCTTATCAGTCAGACTAGTGGTATTATCTGCCAAACGAAAAAGAGAAGAAGGTATCAAGCTATAGCCCATTTAAACATTCTAGCTTCCTGAATTGCTGAAAACCCTAAGTGAAAAGTACCAGGAGACAGTGAAAAAGATAATTATATAGCTGTTGTCTCATTGTCTGCTAGCCCACATGGAGTCTATGTGAGATTCAGAATAGGACACTCCTTCCTTTGTTGAACAAAACGTAGGCGTGGCGGTGAGGTTGGGTTTTCTATTCAACCTTTGCCAATGGCCCTGTTTATATTAGACCTTCTCAAATGTAAAGGGGAAGAAAACACCATTTTTGTTCCTTTTGAACATTTTTCACTTATATCTGGCCAAACTCAAGGCCACCCAACTCCTGACTCCCCAACTAACAGTCCACTTTCTCCTCCTATTTATTGAAGGAAATTGCTCATCAAGTGTGAACTCATTCAATTACAATGCCTCCTTGTCTTTCAAGGGATGTCTATACTCTTCCAGGTCCATTTTTTAACCTCCGAACCCTTACCTCTCCCTCTCAACTGCTGTCTCCTCTTATCCTATAGCCTCTCTCTTTCTACTGGTTTCTTCCCCTTAGCCCTTCATGAAAATAATAAAAGTAAACAAAAAACTAAAACAATCACAACAAACTATATTCATCAATCTCATCCTACCTCAATAAACTAAATATAAGGAAAAAGATATCTCATTTTCCCCCTCAACTCCCATTTTTCTCAACCCCCCCTCCATCCTCCATAATGCAGTCACTATTACTACCACTGGATGTTTAGCATTCCAAGAACTCTCAAAATATTTGCCACATTTTGTCCATATTTATTTAGGAGGGGGATGCTGGGTTTATAGGATTCTCAAAGGTGCCCTTGGGTTCCTCAAAAGTTAAGAACTTCTGTTCTAGGTATTTTAAAGGCTATTCTTCAAGTGGGTTAGACTAGGGGTTGGCAAACTATGGCCTGTGGACCAAATCTGCCCCCCTGCCTGCTTTCATAAATAAAGTTTTATTGGAACACAATCATGTTCATTCATGTATATATTGTCTATAATTGTTTTTGTACTACAGTGACAAAATTCCATGACTGAGTAATTCCAAGACAGACCTCAAAGTCAGCAAAGCTTAACATATTTACTATCCGGCCATTTATTTTTTTAAAAATTGCCAATCTCAGGGTTAATCAGAAAACCGAGTTCCTGATCACATTGTTTTGGCCTCATGACTGCTTCTCCCAGACTGTACTTTGGAATTAATGTTATGGGCCTGCATGGTAGAATCCTATAAGAGACAGCCCTCTTGTTTTTATTACAGAAGTGCTGTTGAGAGAATAGTCTTCTTTTACAGAAAAATCCCCTTTGATGAAGACCTGAAGGAGCTATTTCATCCAGTTCTGAGTAGTAATATTGATGATGATGATGAAAGTTTCATACTTTTATAGATTATACTATATGCCAGACAGCATTCTAAGGTTTTTATACATAAAAAGTCATTTAATTTTCACAACAAGGCCATAAATTAGGCAGAGTATACCCATATTTAAAATGAATAAATTGCAAAGGAATTGTTTGAAAATCATAAAGATATTTTATGAGGAAACATGGGAAAACTTTCAAGGAGAAGCACCACTAAAATTTTAAAATTCTACTATATCCTTCTCATGAGCAAGTAAGTTCAAGGTTGCTAGGCACTGGATCTTTCAAGGGCATCTTACCAAAGATATCTTGGTACCCAGAAGCTGGTTCTTCTTTAAGATTCATGTTTGTGTTGTCTGGTAGTGATGAACTCAATCCACTAAAATCCATGTAATTGTTGGTTCCAATCTGAATACCAGTACTATTGTATATGGCATATTTTATGGACTCATCTGAATAGAGGAAAACACAAGTAAGTATTTCTAGAACAAAAGCAAGAGAAAAAAATACAGCATGGTAAAAACACTTTACTCCAAGTATTATGTTAAATTAATTATCCTATGCCACCCTTTAAATTTTTCTTCTTTAAAATGTGACTAAACTACCACAAACCCATTAGGATGCCTACTTTGAGAAAAATGAAAAAAACAAGTGTTGGTAAGGATGTGGAGAAAATGGTACCCTTATGTACTGCCTGTGGGAATATTAAAATGATATAGCCACGGTGGTAAACAGTATGGCATTTCCTCAAAAAATTAAAAATAGAATTGCCATACAATCCAGCAATTCCATTTCTGGGTATATATTTCAAAGAATTGAAAGCAGTATCTCGAAGAAATATTTTGACACCTGTGTTCATAGCAGCATTATTTATAATTATCAAAAGGTAGAAGCAACTCAAGTGTCTATCAACAGACAAATGGATAAACAAAATGTGGTATATCCACACAATGGAATAATATAGCCTTAAAAAGGAAGGAAGTAATATCATGTGCTACAACATGAGTGAACCTTGAGGATATGTGCTAAGTAACATAAGCCAGTTACAAAAGAATAAATACTGTATGATCCCATTCATATGAGGAACCATATGAGTACCATTCCACTCATATGAGCAGTCAAATTCATGAGGACAGCAAGCAGAACACTGGTTGTCAGGGGCTAGGGAGGAATAAGGGGAAGATGATGTTTAATGGGAACAGAGTTTTAGTTTGGGAAGATGATGAAAAAATCTTGGGGATGGTGGTGAAGGTTGCACAACAATGTGAATGTAAGTAATGCCACTGAACTATATTTAAAAATGCTTAAGTGGTAAATTTTATGTGTATTTTACCACAATTATTTTTAAAATGTGGCTAATATCAAGTTAGAAAATAGAGGTGGATGAACAACACCACAAGGCTCAGTCATATTCCCAGGAGGATCCCACTACCCAAACATCTGTGAAGAACCCTGCTCCTTCATGTAATAAGCCTAGACCTCTCAGAGCTCAGTTTTGAAAGCCAGTCACAACTTTACCCTAACCTCTCATTGATCTTCCTTTCACTGTCTCCTCCCTCTCTCTACTCTAGAGGCTCCAGTCCTTCCAGATCTCCCATTGATCTACTCATATGATGATCCTGCCTTTGCTCAATCTGTGCCCTCTGCCTGGACTGCCATTCTCCCCACTTGTGAATTTCTGACACAAGCCCAACACAAATTCTGCCTCTTTCCATGAGCCTGCACCATAGTCCTGTTCTCAGTACTCTGCCCTGGGCTGCTCTGCATCAGAAGTAGCTCTGTTTTACTTCTTCACTAGTGCATGAGTCCTAAGAGGGCAGCAACCATATTCACTTGTTTTTGTATTCCTTTCACGTGCTAGCCCGGACTTGGAATGCGGTACGTGCTCAATGGCATTCATGCTGAGTTGAACTTGTCAATGTCACTAAAGAACATTTAATATATCTTTGTAAGAGACAGGTGGAAGAAAAGACAGCTCTGAGGACAGAGGTAAATGAAATTCAGCTCTGGGCACCTTGGTCAGCATATATAGCTCTAAGGTAGACCACCTTCTGGACCAGACACCACACCCCCTTTGCTGCATATTCTCTGATGAAGCCAAGGAAACTAGGGATCCTCTCTACTGAAAGATGGAAGAGATGTACAGTGTACACACTCAGTATCTGTGTGTAATTCTGGATGGTTCCTGAAGCTGCTGAAACTGGATTCCTGGAGCTCCTGGCAAAGAATCCCGCCACAGACTCTGAGGTGCTTCCAGCTCTCAAAGCTTCATCTTTTCTAAGTGTTCTTTGTTAACAATGATAAAATGGTGATAATAATAGCAGCTACCACTTACTGAGCACTTATTCCATACATTACTGGGCACAGTGCTAAGTGCCTTATCCCATTTGATCCCCCTGACCCACCATCTCCAGTTTATACTGACCCTGTGTTAACCACGGGCTTACAAGGAGGTTAAGTCAGAGAGCACATGACTCTGTGCCAGGATTTTTCTGTACCTCTCTATGTTGCATTTTTGAATCAGTGCTTTCTGCTGCTTTCCTGCCCAAATCTGGTCACTGGACAAACCACAAATTTAAGAAACTGAGAAACTAATGTATTATTAGACACTTATAAGAGCTTACAATATGTAACATTCAGTTGTAACATTTTTATTATATTTGTGGATAATGAACTCTAGAGAGGCAAAACAACTTGCCCTGAGTCACCCAGATGGTGAATGGCATACACCGGACTAGAAACTGGGTCTCCTGACTCTCAATCCAATGAGTTTTCTTTTTTAACTTCACTTAAAGTAGCTAACTGAATAAAAAGGACTGTTCCTGGGCGCTATTTCATCAGAATAAAGAAATATTTATGTTGCTTTTATACTTCCTTATATGGCATGGCAAATTAGAAAACTCACATTGGCACAGAATTAGGACTATTTGATGACAACTAAAGCAAGCAGAAGAGTCTATTACATTTGCAATGAGAAACTCAATTTAATCATTTGCCACTTCAGTACAGAATCATCTTTTGGAGCAAAGACACACAATTTCATGATTCATTGATGCAAATCCCCCTTTCCCACTGAGAGCATCTCAGAATCATTAAGGGGTTGGATCCTAGTATATCTGTCATTGGCCAAACCAGGTACCAGAGGGAGAGTGAGAAGAGAAGGATTTCTTGCACCAGACAAGTGTGCTTGGGTTGCTCATACAGAGACAGGATAAAAAAATGACATACTAACTTATTAAATATTGACTATAGTCTACTTTCTACCCATTAGGATTTAAGATCCAAGAAGAATGGGAATCCAGCTGTTTGTTCGCTGGCACGGCTCCAATGCCTAGAAAATTGCCTGGCACAAAGTGGGAAGCGGCTTCGAAATTTGTATTGAACGAATCATGAGTGAATAAAGTGATATGGTGACACTAATGAAAATGTATTCCCAGACACAAAGACAACAAAAGGACATTTCACTCATATGATTATGTATGACTTAGATTCTGCTTAATGTCTAATCCAGTATTTTGCTCTCTATAGATCTTATAATAAAACCTATAGAAAAAATCCAGTATGTTTCCATAAGAAGTTTTTGGAGAATCTGGCCTTTTGAAAGAAAATGCAACTCAGCTCGATGGTTCTCAAAGCTTCTCCTACCTAAGCTGATTTCAAGATTTCCAGGACATGCATGGGTATTGTTGACAGGTGCCATCAAAGGTGATACTGGTGAGTATTATTTGATAATGATGCTGGATATTAAATTAAATCACTTCCACTCTACACTATCAGCAACTACTATCACCTACCTTTTATTTCACCTGATAGAGATATGGGAATTGAAAGAAAATTTTTCATCACAAATGGTAGTCATTGGCCTATACAAGGTAAGAAATAAAAATATTCAAGACATTTCTTTTCTTTCTTTTTTTTTTTTTTTTTTGAGTCAGGGTCTTACTCTGTTGCCCAGGCTGGAGTCTAATGGCACGCTCATGGCTACCACAGCCTTGATCTGCCGGATAATCCTTCCACCTCAGTCTTCCAAGTAGTTGAAATCATAGGCATATGCAACCACACCCGGCTAATTTTTTATTTATTGTAGAGACAAGGTTTTGCCAAGTTGCTCGGGCTGCTCTCGAATCCCTGGGCTCAGGCAATCCTCTTACCTCTACCTCCTTAAGTGCTGGGATTACAGGTATGAGCCACTGCCCCCGGCTAGACTTATTTCTTACCTTCAAAAAACAGCTAGCAAGGTAAAAACATATAAGCAGATATCTACTCATTTGACAGAGATTGGGTGTAATGAGACTCCTATGTACTTTAGTTAGAGGGGAAGAAGCCTACTTGTCACAGGGACCTGTAACCCCCCCGCCTTTGGGCATCTGTGATGAATTCTAGATCCAAACTCAAATCTTCCCAGACCAAGTGGTCTGACGGAGACCATTCCATGGTGGCAAGTTACATCTGGTACCCAAAGACTCCAAATAGTTGCCCTTTGCCCCCATCATATCTCACAGTCTACAACCCAGCTACTGGCTACTTTATTTTTGGAATTAAAAAAGATAGGAATGTGATTATTAAAGAGCTGTTTACCTGTTGTTAGCAAGGAGCTGAATGGAATGGTGGGTGTGTTTCCCAGTAGGTTGGTCTCAGGCACTGGGGTGTTATTCAGACTAGGCACACGGCCTAAAATTGGCCTGTACAAAACTCTTGAACCTGCTGTTCCTGTATCCAATGGTCTTGCTCCAAAACCAATTGAGTTATATAATCCATTGTTCCAGAATGGTACTTGGGGTTGACTGGTTAGCCCTGTTGCCTGGTGCACTGTGTGACCATGGTTGGTTACACCAGAATAAGTAGGGCCTTTTGCCCCTGAGTTCTGAACATTCCCATAAGGTCTCGGCTGTGCAAAAGGGTCATGGGAGACCCTTCGTCTCCTTTCCTCCTCTCTACTGTATGCCACATTCTGTTTGGGCTGCTTTTTTGTCTGCTTGTCCATGCGGCTGCCAAAAAGATGGTAGTTGGCTTCTTCCTGGAGTTTACTCTGCAGACTGGGCTCATTCTCTTCTTGCTGGTGCTCCAAGGAGGGGGCAAACCAGGACTCTTCCACAGGACCTGCCCCAAATCCCTGAGAACTGTGCAGCGAACCAGGCTGTTCTGTAGCTGAAAAGAAATGATCAACATTGGAATGGGTTTCATGAAACATTAAAAAGCAAAATAAAACCTAAGCAAAAGACAAGTAAAAAGCATTTAGGAGATGGTCTTCTTCTTGCAAGCTCTATCGGTAATAAATAGGAGCCCCTGGTTGGCAGTGAGAGAGCATTGGAGAAAGTATAGCAAGCAGCAGAAAAGCAGACATCACAGGGATGACCAGGGAAGAAAGGGACTTGAGGTGGGGCAGGGAAAATGCTTGTCTCCTCGGAGCGATTCAGGTGGAAAATAAGAACTGCAGCAGCTCTCTCCTAAGTGCTTTCCATGGGTTCTTTCATTTTTGAAAAGTTCTATGAGAGTAGGAGCAATTATTATCATAATTTGATGATGAGGTTTAGAAAGGGTTAAGTAATTTGCCCCAGATCAGACAGCTAATAAACAGCTTCAATATCCTATACTCCAACTTCCCTTCTGTTATAATGGAAAAGTATCCCTGCTTGAATCTGAGACTTGTGCTGCAGATATAGTTGCCTCCAAACTCTCGGGGACTTTGTTCCCGCTTATTTCCCCTTCTTTCTTGTGAACTATTACTTTATCCCTATCAGATATATTAGGCCTCTTAAGTTCAAGAAACACTATGATTTTGGTGAGCACATGGCTACTTAATATTTCAAATATATGTAACTTGACTCATGAATATTATTATAAATTCCTTTAAGGCAGGTGTTCACTTTCATGGTTCCTTCTGTTTCCCATGTGGCCCTAAATAGCATTAGGGAGTAGACCGAATGAATGAGCAAACGAATGAATAAATAGAATTCAACTATAGTCTCAGTTACCTGAATTTGACCTGCTTGGAGGTATAGCCACACAATCAATTTCGAGAGACAGCATTCTCTTCGCAATTGCATTTTGGCCTGGAAATTCTTTCTATGATTAAGAGCATAAATATACACTTTAGTAAACAACAGAAAATATTCAGTCCCAGAAAATTATAATGACAGGAATAAATCTTTTCAGAAGGTAAACATTTCATACAGTTCTTATAAGTAGTAAATTTTAAAATAAAACATTTTTCACAAATAGCCAAAATAATCCTGAAAAAGAACAAAGGTGGAGGAGTCACTCCTCCTGATTTTAAAACTTACCACAAAGTGTGATAGTGGCATAAAGACAGACATGTAGGCCAGTGGAACAGAATACAGTCCAGAAATAACATATGGTCAATTGATTTTTGACAAGACCATTCAATGGGGAAAACTGAATATATACATATAAAAAGATGAAGTTGGACCCTTAATATCATATATAAAAATTAACTAAAAATGGATCAAATACCTAATTTAAGAGATAAAACTATAAAACTATTAGAAGAAATATAGGAGAAAATCTTCATAACATTGGTCTTGGCAATTATCTCTTGGATATGACACGAAAAGCATAGGCAACAAAAGTAAAAATAGATAAACTGGAACTCATAAAAATTAAAACCTCAGCATCAAAAGTTACTTTTTACTATCAAGAGAATAAAAAGACAACCCACAGAATAAGGGGGAAAAATCTTCAAATCAACTATATCTGATAAGGGATGAATATTCAGAATACATAAAGAACTTCTACATCTCAACAACACAAATCAAACAATCAAATTCAAAAATGGGCAAAGGACCTGAATAGCCATTTCTCTAAATAAGATTTACAAATGGCCAATAAGCACATTAAAAGATGCTTAATATCATTAGTCATTAGGGAAATGCAATTCAAAACCACCAAATTGTGATAATAGTGAATGAGATACCACTTCACACTCATTAGAATGGCTATTTTTTAAAAAATTGAAAATGACAAGTATTGGTAAGGATGTGGAGAAACTGGAACTCTTGCATATTGATGGTGGGGGACATAAAATGATGCAGCTGCTATGGAAAACATTTCTATGGTTTTTCAAAAGTTAAACACAGAATTATCATATGATCTAACAATTCTACTCCTAGGTATATATCCTAAAGCACTGAAAGCAGGGGTTGGTACTTATATACCAATGTTCATAGCAGCATTATTCACAATAGTCAAAAAGTTGGAAACAACCCAAACATCCATCAAAGATGAACAGATAAACAAAATGTGGTACAGGTTGGGAATCCTTTATCTGAAATGCATGATACCAAAAGTGTTTTGGGTTCTGAATTTTTTTGAATTTTGGTATATTTGCATATACCTAATGAGATATCTTGGGGATGGCCCCCAGGTCTAAACATAATAGTCATTCATGTTTCATAGGTACCTTATAAACACAGTTTGAAGATAACTTTATACAATACTTTAAATAATTTTTTGCATGAAACAAAGTTTGCATATACTGAACTATCAAAAAGCAAAGGTGCAGATGCATAATTTTCCCCCTGTGGCATCATGTTGGCTTTCATTTTGAGGTTTCCCCTCAAAAAAGGATTTGCTGCCCTGCTGCAAGAAGTTGAATGAGCAAACAGCCTGCAGCTGTCAGTTCTTTTAGATTTTGCTTAAGGTATTCCCCTCTGGGGCAGCCACACTCAGTGACTGAGAGAGGGAAGGGTCTCATGCCCTGCCCAATTCAGTCTGAGGCGGGACAAACCTGAGAGGCAATATTTGTTCAGTGCTGCCCCTGCCTAGTTGCCAAAGCTCTTTGTCAGGCTTGATCACCCTTTGACTTCTCTGCTCATTCCTGCTTCCTGCTCCTTCCTTGTACCCAGATCTCCAACTCAGCAGCTGCTTCTGGAGAACACAACCTGCAAAAAACTCTTCTTTTCTAGTAATTTATTTGATGATCCTCACTGTAATACTACACTGTTTTAATCTTCAGAATTTTCTTGTCCATCTTTGTACATTTTAAAAAATTTCCTACAAACTTAAGAATCAGCTTGTTAAATTCCATAAAGAATTTGGTTGGGTTTTTAATTATGATTGTACTCCATTTATAAGTGATGTTGGGGAGAACTGACAGCTTTAGTATATCAAGTCTTTCCATTCATAAATACATTTCACCACTTACTTAGATTTATTTCATGTCTTTTTGAAAAGTTTTGCCATGTTTGCCAATGTGTAGACATAATTGACCTCACTGTGGTTTTAATTTGCATTTCCCAGATTATCATTAGGTATGCACTTGTTTGGTATACTTATTGGCTATCTGAATATTCTCTTTGGTGAAGTGTCCACTCAAACATTTCACCATGTTTTAATTGGGTTGCCTATCTATTTCTCTTTGGTTTAAAAGATTTCTCTAGATTATATGCAATCAAGTCCTTTGTCCGCTCATGTGTGTTGCAGTTCTCTTCTTCCATTCTGTAGCTGGTCTTTCCATTTCATTAATGGTTTCTTTAGATGAATAAGAGACTGTTAATCATATTTATCAAATTCTGCCATTATAGTTAATGCTTTTGCATTTTGCTAAAGATTCCCTAACCTGAAGACATGAAGAAATCCTCCCATGCTATTTTCCAATAGCTTTATAATTTTGTCTTTCACATTTATGTCTGTAATGAACCTGGAGTTGATTTTTTGGTACAGTATAAGGTAGGAGTCCAATTTCATTTTTGCCTATGTGGATACCCAGTTGTCCCAATACCATTTATTGAGAAGACCATCATTTCTTCACTGGCTCTACAGTGCCACCTCTGTCAAAAACAAGTTTCTGGGGCAACCTCTTTGGGCCCCCTCTCACTGTGGGAGCTTTTCTGTACTCAATAAATCCTGCTTTCTCAAAAAAAAGCAAGTTTCTATATATGGGTGGGTCTGTTTGGGGTTAAAACTCTATTTCAATGATCTCTGTTTACCCCACACCAATTTCATGGTCTTAATTGTGCTTTATAATAACTAAACTTTATAATAAATTAAGTTTTATAATAATTCTTGATAAGAGTATAAGGCAAGTGCTCCCCCACAACTAGCCTTGTTCTTCTTCAGGAGTATTTTGGTTATTCTTGCTCTCTTCGTTACCTTTCCATATGGACTTTAGAATGAGTTTGTCAAGTTCCACTCCCCATAAGCACTTGACAAACACACAACTGAACAGTTGAGATTTTGTTTGGAATTGCACTGATTCTGTAGATCAGTATGAGAATAAGTGACATCTTCACATTAGTGCAACTTCTAAATCACAAAGTAAATGACATATTTCTTCATTTATTTAAGTCTTGTTTTATGTCTCTCAATAAAGGTTTATACTTTTAGAGTTACTACATATTTTTTGCAAGATTTATTGCTCCTAATTGTAAATAGTATCTTTAAAATTTTTTCAATTTCTTACTATTTCTGACCAATACCCAAGGTTATAACAGATTTTCTGTATATTGATTTTATAAATAGATAAACTCTATTATTGATTTAAAAAGATTCTTTTGAAATTTTCATGTACATATCCTATCACCTATGACTAATGGCATTTTTGTTTCTTCCTTTCCAATTCTATATCTTTTCTCTCATTTTCTCGCTCTACTATAATAGCTAGGGCCTTTAGATGCTAAACACATATGAGGTAGTATGCATCCTTGTCTTGCATGTTATCTCAAAGAAAAGCTGTTAACTTCTGTTAATAAGTACAATATTTGTTGTGGTTGTTTCAAAACAACTTATGATCAGATAAGGAATTTCTTTTTCTGAGTTGCTAGAATTTTCAATCGCGAATATTGTATTTTATCAACAGATTTTTCTGTATCTATTGAAAAGATAAACTTTTCTTATTTAATAAGATAATATGATAAAATATAAAAATAGATTTTTCTTCTTTTTTTTTTTGAGTTGGTGTCTCACTTTGTCACCCAAGCTAGAGTGCGGTGGCATGCTTGTGGCCACTGCAGCCTCAACCTGCTGGGTTCAGGTGATCCCTCTGCCTCAGCCTATAGGCATGCACCGCCATGTGCCACCATGCCCGGCTAATTTTTTAATTTATTGTAAAGATGAGGTCTCACCAAGTTGCCCAGGCTGGTCTTGAACCTGTTGGCTCAGGTAATCCTCTCACCTCAGCCTCCCAAAGTGCTGAGATTATAGGCATGAGCCACTGTACCCAGCCTCAGATTTTTCTAAAGTTAAACTAACTTTGCATTCTTGGAATAAACCCAACTTGGTTTTTGTCCACTGATGGATTCAGTTTGTTTATAGTATTTTATTTAGAATTTTTGCATCTGTACTATTAAACAAGATTGGTCTCTAATTTTCCTTTCTTGCACCTTCTTTTCCAGTTTTGGAAATCAAGATTATGCTAGTATATGGGAGAGTTCTCTCTTCTCTATTATCTGGAGAAATCTGTATAATATTGAGGTGATTTCTTCACTGAAAATTTATTAGAAATCATTGATGAAGCTATCCCGTTGTGGGATTTTCTCTGTGGAAAGATTTTTTTAATCACTGATTCTTTTATTCAAGCTTTCTATTTCTATTTGAGTCAGTTTCACTAAGTTATACTTTTTTTCTAGAATGGTCAATTTGTTTAAATTTTAAAATTAATTAGCAAAAAGTTGTTATAATATCTTCTTAATACTATTTGATGTCTGTAGGATCTGTAGTGATTCCTCATTTATGATTTCAATTTTGTCTCTGTTTTTCTGTCAGTCTTCTTTTTTTTTTAGATAGCGTCTTGCTCTGTTGCCCAGGTTGGAGTGCAGTGGCATGACCAGAGCTCACAGCAACCTCAAGCTCCTGGGCTCAAGTGATCCTCTCACCTCAGGCTCCCTAGTAGCTGGGACTACAGGCACAAGCTGCTAAACCAAGCTAACTTTTAAAAAATTTTATTTTTTTAGAGATAGGGTCTCACTATGTTGCCCAGTTGGTCTTGAACTCCTATCCTTAAGTGATCCTCCCTCCTCAATCTCCCAAGTAGCTGGTATTATAAGTGTAAGCCACAGTGCCCAGTTCTAAAAGTCTTAGTCAATTTTATTAGTCTTTTCAAAGAACCAATATTTAGCTTTTTTAATCCTCTATGTCACTCTAGTTTTCTATGTCACTAACTTATGCTCTTTTCTTTACTTTTTACTTCTATTTTCTCTAGGTTTATTTTGCTATCTTTTTCAGATAAATGTTTGGCAAATTTTCTGCCTTTCTTCTTTTCTAGTATATATGGATATACTACTAGGATACACTACTAGGATACTCCTTTGCAAAATGCATTTTAAAATTTTTAAAATATAGTGTTTTTGTTAGCCTTCTGTTAAAAATATTTTCTAAATTCCATTATGAGTTTTTTGACCCAAGGGATACCTAAAAGTATATTTCTTTACTTCCAATCACATAGGATTTTCTCATTTTCTTTTGTAAATTAATTTCTAGCATAATTGAAATATAGTCAGAAAACATTCTTTATATAATTACAATCCTTTTAAACTGGTTGAGACTTGTTTTTTCTCAGTACATGGTCAATTTTAGAAAATGTTCCATATATTCTTAAAACGCCTTTAAAGGTAGGTACTGTGCAGTTATTAGTTGTAGTGTTTCAATGTTTCCATTAGGTAAAGTATGTTAATCATGTTCTTCAAGTCTTCTATATCCTTACTGGTTTTTGTTTGTTTGTTCTATCAATTAAAGAAAGATTTATATTAAAGTCTTCAACTATGATTGTGGATAAAAGTCTGTTAATCATGTTCTTCAAGTCTTCTATATCCTTACAGATTTTTGTTTGTTTGTTCTATCAATTAAAGAAAGATTTATATTAAAGTCTTCAACTATGATTGTGGATAAAAGTCTGTTAATCATGTTCTTCAAGTCTTCTATATCCTTACAGATTTTTGTTTGTTCTATCAATTAAAGAAAGATTTATATTAAAATCTTCAACTATGATTGTGGATTTGCCTACTTCTCTTTGAGTTCTGTCAACTTTTGTTTTGTATATTCTGAGGCCATGTTATTAGGGGTATATCCATATTTAAAGTTGTTATGCCTTCCTGAACCTTTTATAATAATGAAATATTCCTGATTGTTTGATGTTATGCTTTTTTGCCTTAGTGTCTATCTTGCCTGATTCTGATCTTTTTTTATTCTTCTGTATTGCTTGCCTATTTACTATAGTCATCTTTTCATGATTATGGGGGTAGGTTGCTGAAAGAGTTATGACAGTAGCTTGATTCCAGAGTATGTGTGGGGGCTGGGGAGGAGGTTTCTGTTCCTCTTAGTTGGTTAGTTCATAACTGGGCTTTGCCATACCTCTCTGACCACAGACACCAAACTCACTGCTTCAGCCTTTGGCGGATGCTGCTGCCATCTGTTGCTAAGTATAAGGAAAGTAGAGAGAAGAGCCAGCTTTTCTAAATAGCATAAATGTTCCCAAATGATTCTCCCTGCCAACATCCCAGGTGACCATCCTTTTATTTCTATATATTGATCCAAGATTTGTTCCTCCAATACTTCTCCCTTACCATTACCTTTTGGGTTAACTTTTTTTTCCGTTATATGTCTCAGCATATATAATTCTTCTATCTTCCTATCTTTTAAGAATTCCTCAAAATTACTGATATACTTAGGTTTCTTTTCATTCTTTTTCCAGTGATGCTGTGCTTTTGTTTTCATATTGCTATATATATTTTATCTCATTTCATGAGTTTTGATGGAGAAATGGGTCCAGTATGCCAACATGATGATATCTTCATATAATCACTGATTTTGTTTATGTGTTCACCAAGCTAGCATACTTCAAATCTCAATAACAAATTACAATGTTTTAGTTTTCATGATTGATAATATAAGTTTTCATATGTTAATATTTCGAGCATCTGCTATATTACCTACCTTCAAACTCTTTACATCCTCTTCTACATTTTCTTCTAAATGACTTAAATAAAAAGGCCTAAATTTTTCTTCAATGCCTATATGAAAAAAATATTACTTTAAATTTCTTAAGTATTTTCTAACATAAAATTAAAATATTGCAATTGTTGTCTTTTAATTATTTATCTCAATAGATAGGCAGAGCAGTAATATAAAAATTTAAGCTCCAAGTTACTGACTCTGATAAAGTGACTAACAACACTAATAACAAGGTAGACAGAATAAGCAATAGGATAACACTGGACACCAAGAGCCTAATAGCACATAGTTTCTCTGGGTGCAGAACAAAGCTCTACCTGATATGAGTTAATCTCCAAGCAACAAAGACAAATGAACCCCAAGTTTTGTCCCTCTGGTATCAAATTTATGACAGGTTGATACTCAGAATAAGAATTTGGCATAATGGGTTAGAACTGATAGACTTAAAAGAAAAAAGAAAACTTTCAGTTCCAGGAAGATGGAGCAGACATACTTTTTTCTTATTCTGCCTGCTAAGTACATCAAAAAACCCTAGATAGTATATATAAAACAAACATATGGAGAATCTTAAAGGAGGAGAGAAGAAGGCAGACCAGCCAGAGACCTTGGGATCAGAGGAAATATATGGTAGTGAGTTTACTGGATTTTCTCTTTGCCTCATAAATTCCAGACTTGGAGCTGAAAAGTTGGCAACCTGTATCCATCAACTGACACACAAAAAAATCCCCAACAAAAGCCTGCTCTTTCTAGCCAGAGCACTAAGCAAGAAGCAGCCTATCAAGACAGAAAACCTTTAGTCAGTCTACAGTAATACTACCTTGAATGTATCCAATCTCATCTGGTCTTGGAAGCTAAGCAGGCTCGGACCTGGTTAGTACTTAGATGGGAGAAGACCTTTAGTCAATAACCTCTCTATTCCAGTCAACAAGTACAGAAAAAATCCTGTGGCTCCACCCCCATCCACAGTAGCTAAGGCCAAGTGGAAAGCCTAGACATCCAACCTCATGAAACAGTAACAAGGTACCCGAAATCCCCATGACAAGGTGATGTCAGAGAAGGTCAAACAGGAAGCAGGACTGTCCTGCCTGCCAGCTGGTAATGAAACCCCCCCACTCCCATGGTGTCAGTAGGCCTCAAGGGTAGCCTGAATTCGCACTCCCCATTGCAGTAACAAGACATCCCTTCTGTCTGTCCATTGAGGAAGTGTCAGTGTCAGAGAAGGCCTAGTAGAGAACCAGGACTTTCACCATTGTCCAGTGGTAATTAGGCATTCCCATCTCAGTGTCAGTGGAGACCATGTGGACTCTTCCACAGCCACTCCCCCCCTTTGACTAGCAGTGAAGAGGTCTCCACCTTGGGTGTCAATGGGAGCTGCATGGGAAACTGAACTTCTCCCTCCAGCTGGCACTAATAAGGTGGCAATTACCCTTCCCTTGCCAGAGCAGTGTCAGAAAAATTCTGCTAAAATAGAAGGCTTAAAGAAGATCCAGAATCTTATAACATGTAAGAAACTGTACAAGTTTCAATAGAAAAAATCACTCATTTTCCAAGATCCAGAAATGTCCCAAACAGGATGAAAAAAAGACAATAAATAGATACCAATACTGAGATGACAGCAATGTTAGGACTACCTGTCTAAAAAAAAGCCATGATAAAAATGGCTCAATGAGTAATTATGAACCTGCTTGAAACAAATTAAAAAGTGGAAAGCTTCAGCAAAGAAAAGAGGATATAAATTTTAGAGCTGAAAAATAAAATAAACAAAATAACAACCTCAGATGGGCTAAACAGTGCAATAGAGGAGATGAAGAAAAATCAGTGAACTGGAAGACAGAATGATAGAAATTACCCAGTTTGAACAAGAAAGAGAAAATTAACTGAGAAGAAAAATGTACAGAGCCTCAGGGACCTAGCGACTATAACAAAAGATTCAGTTTTTACAACATCAGAGTTCCAGAAGGAGATGAGAAAGAGAGTGGAGCTGAAAAAGTACTCATCGAAGTAATGACTGAAAGCTTTCCAAATATGGCAAAAGACAAAAACTTAGAGACTCAAAAAGTGAGTAAAACCTTAACAGAATAAACTACAAAGAAATCCACACCAAGACAAGTAATAACCAAATCCCTGAACGATAAAAAGAAAGAAAAAATCTTGAAAGCAACTAGAGAAAAATAATACATTACTTATATGGGGGGGAAATAATTAGAATGACTGAGGGTTTCTCAATTGAAACCATGGAGACCAGAATACAGTGGCACATTATTTTTTAAGTTCTGAAAGAAAACAACTGTCAACTCAGAATCCTACACCTGCAAAAATAGCCTTCAGAAATGAAGGCGAGATTAAGACATTTTCAGAGGAAAAGTAAGAGAATTTAGTGACATCAGACATGCCCTAAAATAATGGATAAAAAATTATCTAAACAGAATGGAAACGATAAAAGATGGCACCTGGAAAATCAGGAAGAAAGAAGATCACGTATGGTGTAAAAAAATAAATATTTGGTCTTGGTCCCCAGTTTGGTTCATGGCAGGCAGTTCCTAAAATCCTTGGAGTCTCCTAAGTGACAATAGTATCTTTTGGGGTAGGGGAGAGAGGTAGCTTCAGGATGGGGGCTGGTCACAAGAAAGATCAAGACATGGTTAGAGTTTGGGGCTTTCAGGATCACCCTTTGACCTGCAAGGATGGGAGAAAGACTGGAGATTACATTCAGTCACCAGTGACCAAAGATTTAATCAATAATGCTTATGTGATGAAACTTCCATAAAAACTCCTAAGAGAGGCAGGGTTCGAAGAGCTCCTATGTTGGTGAACACATAGACATGCTGGGAAGGTAGCATGCCCAGAGAGGGCATGGAAGCTGTGCATACACAGCCCTCATGCCTTGCTTTATGCATCTCTTTCAAATGACTGTTTCTGAATTGTACCCACTATAATAAAAGGGGAGACATAAGTAAAATGTTTTTGGTTTTTTTGAGTTGGAGTCTCACTTCGTCACCCAGACTGGAATGCAGTGGTATGCTCCCGGTCACCACAGCCTCAACTTGCTGGGCTCTGGTGATCCTTCCACCTCAGCCTTCCAAGTAGCTGGAACTACAGGCGCACACTACCACGCCCGGCTGATTTTTTGATTTATGTAGAGATGAGGTCTTGCCAAGTTGCCCGGGTGGGTCTCGAACCCGCGGGCTCAGGCAACCCACACACCTCGGCCTCCCAAAGCGCTGGGATTACAGGCTGAACCACCGAGCCCAGCAAATGTTTTCTTGAATTCTGTGAGTCATTCTAATGAATTACCAAACCTGAAGTGGGGGTTATGAGAGCATAAACGTGTAGTTGACTGGGCAGAAGTGTGGGTAGCCAGGGTACCAAAAGGTACGGAGGATACACAAAAACCGGATCACTCACACAGTGAATATGAAATGGTACAGTCACTCTGGAAAAAAAGTTTGAAACTACCATATGACCTAGCTACTGTACTCCTGGATATTTATTACAGAAAAACGAATACTTGTATTCACACAAAAACATATACATGAATATTTACAGCAGCTTTAGTTTCAATAGTCAAGAACTGGAAACAAGTCTTTCAAGTAGTGAATAGTTAAACTGTGGTACATTCACACCACAGAATACTGCTCAGCGATAAAAAGGAATAAGCTACTGAAATGGGTAGCAATCTGGATGAATTAAGTTGAGAGGAAAACAGCTAGACCTCAAAGGTTACATATTGTATGGTTCTGTTTATCTAACATTCTTGAAATGACAAATTATAGCAATGGAGAACAAAATGGTGGCTCTGCTGAATTGAGTAGGGGTGGGGGCAGGAGGGAAGGGGATGGCTATAGAAGGGCAACACAAGGGATTCTTGTGGTGATGGAGATGTTCTGTATCTAACCATATCAATATTGATATTGTTCTGTAGTTTTGTGAGATGTTATCTTTAGGGAAAAGTGAGTTAAGGGTAAATAGGATCTTTGTATTATTTCTTATAACTGCCTATGCATCTATATTTGTCTCAAAATAAGAATTCTAACTTTTTTTTTTTTTTGAGTTGGAGTCTCACTCTGTCGCCCAGACTGGAGTGTAGTGGCCGCTCCCGGCCACCGCAGCCTCGACCTGCTGGGCTCCGGCGATCCTTCCGAGTAACCAGAATTACAGGCACGCGCTACCATGCCCAGCTGATTTTTGATTTACTGTAGAGAAGGGGTCTCACCAAGTTGCCCAGGCGGGTCTTGAACCCACGGGCTCAGGCAATCCACTCACCTCAGCCTCCCAAAGGCATGGGATTACAGGCTGAGCCACCGAGCCCGGCTTGAATTCTAACTTTTAAAAGTAAAAAAGGCACAAGAGAAGAGACGACACCAAGCCAGAAGATTAATGCTGACTGAGTGCATAAGAAAATGGGCACTAAATCAAAGTATGTCTTTAATCCTGTGGTGGTAGTGTTGGGTAGGGCTTTAATTTTATTTTCAAATAGTAGAAAATGCTTCATAGGTCCCTTGGTGCCTTTCTACTGTATCTGTATTCCTCACCTGGTTTACTTTTTTACCTTTCCTTTCCCAAGATTTTAAGTAATATAGGGGAATGAGAAGAGGTACGAGAATGTGGCAAACATCCAGGTCCCTCTCCTTCCTCTACTACAGGGTCAATCTAAATGGCAAAATATACTTCTAAAGAAGGCAGTTAAACAAGGTAAGGGGAAAGAAAGAAGAAACAAGAAGGCTGGAGAAAGCAGCCCATAGATGAATGACTGGATAAACAAAATGTGGTCCATCCATACAATGGAATATTCTTCAACCTTAAAAAGGAAGGAAATCTGACATACTCTACAACATGGATGAACCCTGAGGACAACATGCTAGGTAAAATAGGTCAGACACAAAAAGACAAATATTGTATGGTGCCACTTGTATGAGGTTCCTAGAGTAGTCAGATTCATAGAGACAGAAAATAGAATAGTGGTTGCCAGAAGCTGGGGGAAGAGATGAGAAATTAGTGTTTAACCGGGACAGAGTATCAGTTTGAGAAGATGAAAAGGCCCTGGAGATGGATGCTGGAGACGGTGACACAACCATATGAATGCACTGAATGCCACTAAACTGTGCACTTAAAAACGGTTACGATGTTAAATTTAACATTACATCTATTTTAATATAATTTTAAAATCACAAAATAAGGAAACAAGGCCTTATGTGCTTCATGCTTTTGAGAGAGACAGCATCTTTTTATTGAACAAAATGTTGAATATCAGAATATCAGTTTGTTAAATATCAGAATATCATCTTTTCATTTAACAAAATGTTGAATATCTAGAATATCAGTTTGAAACCACAAATAAAGTAGAACTCACGTTTTCTGAAGACTCAAATCAAGTTCCCAACAACATCTTACTAGGAAAATCACCACGTAGGATGCATCCCACACAGTCATAAAAGATGCTCTCACCAGGAAATGTTGGCCGATCTTCCGGCAACTTCTCCCAGCAGAGCTTCATGAGGCTGATGATCTCCTTGGGGCAGTACTCAATGATGTCATCCACATTTGGCCTGTTCCCAGATTTTATGCACAAAATCAACTGCTGCTCACAGATAGCATCTAGAAAACAAAGAAGGCTTAGGTTGAGACCTTCTTTCAGGTTCTGCTCCTCTCTTAGGCAGGAAGGTAACAGAACTTGGGCAATACTGCTAATTTGTCTGTGTCTTGAGTATGCTTGTGGTACAGCTGCCTCATTCCATGGGGTGGGGGGATAGTCTTATGGTAAGGAGTTGACATATTTCACTGTAGAGATGACCAAACAATACTTTAATGTCTGCAAACGAAAGACAAAATTCACAACAAAGCTGCCTGCTGGTAGAATGGTGGAACAAATGGAGTATATGTGGGTAAGGTCATGCCCCAGATACAAAGGCAAATATAGTACAGCTCTCACTTTTAAGTTTAGTGAGAGTAACTTAAAATATGAAGGAGGACCCTAAAAAAAGCAAAATTATTTTTTTAATGGGTGGGCTCCTGATAGTACAGGCTTCCCCTACTAGGTAAGTGCTCTAGAAATTTATCAGCATCAATGTATCAGCTAGTGCTGTGAGAGGCTGTATTCAGGCTCAGTGAATTTTTTTTGGAGATTCTTTCAATGTGTTTGCCCATTTCACAATGAGTGATTTACGAGAACACCTGCCCACACTGCACTGAGTGTTTGGCAGTTTTTAAACAAAAATGGCATGACCCCCATGCCCCACCAACCATATTCACCCGATCTCGCCTGAGTGGTTTGTTTTTGTTTCCTTGAGTGGAAAAAGTCCTCCAAGGGAAATATTTTGCCAATGTGGAAGAGGTGGAACAAAAAATGGCAGAGGTACTAAAAGACATCAAAATCGATGAGTTCAAAAACTGTTTGAGCAGTGGAAAAAGCATCTTGATAGGTGTATTACATCAAATAGAGTACTTTGAAGGTGACTGAAGGTTAAAAATATAAGAATAAATACACATTTTTTTAATAAACAAATTCTGGGGCTTTTAGGGGGGGTTCCTCTCATACAGACCGATAATTGCTATTCAAGAAGGAAGTACAAGGGATTCTGCCACCTGGTAACACAACCATGACTAGAAGGACGGTCCATGAAGGCTTTGGTGAGACCAGAAAAATCAGCAGGTAAAGGATGGGGAAGGGGAACTCAGGGAGGAAGATTCTAGGCAAGGAAAACTGGATATGAATAGACTGGAAGTTACAGAAATCAGGATGCTTCCCAGAAATTACTCAGTATAAGAGCACACTAACAAGGGAGGGCGGGGTAAAGGATATGGCCAGGGAAGCAAAGGTCAGCTCATGAAGGGCCTTGAATTCCACACTACGGAATCTGAACTTCATTCTGAAGGCTACAGGGAATCTGGGAAGGATTTCCAATAGATGAGTAAGAGGGTCATATTTGCCTTTTAGGATGACCACTTTGGCTGTCATGTGAATGGTGGCCCACAAGGAGCCTGCAGCAGAAATAAAAAGGGTTTGAACTAGACAGGCTGGCAGACAGATTAAAGACATATCTTGAGCCATACATATCTCCTGAATCCTTAGGTCTGGAGGTCTGATTGGATGCAGGAGAGGAGGGGCAAGGTTGAGTCTGGGATGACTCTGAGGCCTGTGGCTGGGCAACTCGGTGAGCGGATGGTGATGCCACTTTCTGAGCACACAAAAAAGGAGACGTGATGGATTTGTTTAGGGATGCTGCTCTGGAGGCTTCCTTGGTATACGGGATGGATCTGATCATTAGGCAAGTAGATACTCAGGCCAGGGCCAGAGACAGAGATTCAAGAGGCATACACAAAGAAATGATCATTAAAGCCTAGGAGCTGATGAATGCCTTTGTTCTCCTGCATGCATCACAACTTACTCATCTTTATAATCCCAATGCTGCCTAAAGTGCCCAAAGTAGGTACTGAAAAAAAATAATTCTTGAATGAAGAAGTAAGTGCATACCTTTTGGTGTGAAAGTCTAAGTCCTCATAAGCATAAGCAAGAACAATCACACATTCCTGTGATCTGTAATCTATGGCACCTCCCAAGCTTAGATACACTATCAAGGCTCCTGTTCATCTTATGATCCCTGATTCCTAAACTAGGATAACTCATTCATTCAACATAAACTTACGGAGCAACTATTATGTTCCGGGCATCATGTATATAGATGCTGAGGAGACAGTAGTGGATAAATCAGATGTGCTAGGACCTCAAGGAACTCACAGTCTAGCAAGTAAGACTGACATTAATGAATAACTATAAATCTCATCTGATTTCATTGAAGCCCATTATTTCATGTAATAATTTTGATTAATATCAAAACCCAGTGCCCTACAAATATCTCACTTTCATATGGCTCCTTATTTGCAAATATTGCCCAAAGTACTATGGCAAAGCTGTACACGTCTGACTTCTCTGTGGGTTTTGCATTGATGTCATCCAGGTGCTCAGGGGCCATATAGTGCAGGGTGCCGCCATTCTTCTTAGAGGTGTCGTTCACCTTCCTCTGCTCATTGTGCTCCTCTTGAGTCAGTTTACTCCATGTCTTGAAGGAAGCAGCACCAAGATCCGCTATCTGCAAAAGGGAGCAAGCCAATAGGATTGTTAAGTGAAAGGTATAGGCAAATCAGATTTGACTTCAAGTTTTGGACTTATCTAAGATATGTCAGGTACAGTGAATTTTCCAGAAATGGTTACGCCAGGTAGGTTTAAAACAGCTACTTCTGAACAGACTCACAGAAACTTTGTGTTTCCTCAGACATCTGGCAAATCTCCCTAAATAAATGTTCATGTAAAATTCTTATCTCAATTCTTATGCAGTGAGAGGGACAGGAAAAAGCAGAAGACATTTCTGACATGAACAGCAGCAAGACACCTGACCTTAGTATTTTCTAATTCCCCTTTACTCTGCATATATTTTTCAACTATTTCTGGAGCTAGTAGGATAAACAGTATGTTCTTCTCTGCAGATGTACATAGCAGAGGGTGGCTAGGTACTACACCTTCTATTTCCCCAAATGCTGTCCTGAGGTACATGGATATGAGTTTCTAAGGATCCCAAAGACACTAATGATAAGGACTGTGGTGTGGGACCATTACTTTGTTAGACTCTGGTGTGGCCATGTGCTCTTTGAGCTGTGGCTGCCACTATGCTTCCTGGCTTTGACCCCCTCCCCTACCTTGGGGAGATGAATCTTCTCTTTCCCTTCTCTTTCCTTTCTCTTTCTCGAATTTACTTTTAGATAAACTATATTTTTTAATCTAAAAAAAAAAAAAAAAAAAGACTGTGGTGCTGCTTGTTTTGAGCTGGTAGCCTGAAACTAAGAGCAGATGGGATGAGAAGGAGAGAAACAGACAAAAAAGTAAAGAGAAAAACACCAAGGTCAGATGTAGAACAAAGACTGAGGGGACAGGGCAAAATGATAGAACAATAAAGTTAAGAATAAATCAAAGGTGGCAGTTACATATCTGCTTCTAGGAATTCACGCAAGCATTTGGGGATAAATTTTGGCATGTGATCATCTAAAATTCACAATGTAGCAGACAGTGACTAGGAATTACACCATCTATTTCCCCAAATGGTGTCCTGAGGCCCATGGATGCACATTTTCAAGGACACACTGATGATAAGGACTTGTGAACATATGATAACTTATGAATTTACAGAAATAATCTTTTTTAAAGACACCAAAATAAAAATCTGTCCAAGACTAGTACAAAGTGCTAAAAGCAGAGTCTTCTGATGGAGAGAGACACCTGTGGCAGCTGGTCCTGAAACTCTCCAAAGCCACTACCCCTTTCAGATTCCTTTGCTTGGATTCCTGCTGCCAAAGCCAATTACGCAGCTACTCACCTAGTAAAACCCTGCCCTTGGATGAACAAAAGCAAAATCCCTTCCCCTTATTCCCTTTAGTATAATGGAAAGAGAGTTTTCAAAAGGAAAGGAAATTCATTTTTTAAATGCAGATAGAAATAAACAAGCAAACTATAAATACACACACACACACACACACACACACACACACGCCAAATTTCAAAGCTGAGGTTTTTGATGTCAAAATGGCCAACTCGTTGCTGAACTCTCAAGTCATGTCTGAATTCTAAGAATTTTCTGTACACAGCTTCGCATTCCCCTGCATTTCCAGAGAAGAGAAGTCACAGGACACAAATGCCCATGTCAAGGTGAGCAAGGCAAGCCTTGAACGTCTCCATCTTAAGTCCAACAAGAGGAAAACAGTCTAGATAGAGGTTTTCTCACCTACCCATCCAATTCCACTCCTCCCCCAAAGGTCATGAGTGACATCCCAACAGTTATCTCCAAACTCCGTTAAGTCTGCATCTTTTCTTTCCAACCTTGGAAGCACCTTTCGGCACCACTGTCACCAGTTATAAGCTGAGCTATGTCCTCCTTTATTGTCTACCATCTGCAGGAATGGACTGACAGTGGAGAACTAAACCCAAAAATGATCCAGCCTTCTGGCAGCCTACAGGTCATGGTTTACCTTGATGTGAAAGTCAATATCGACGAGGATGTTTTCAGGCTTCAGGTCCTTGTGAATCACGCCTTCTCCATGTAAGTAGCACATCCCTTCAATGGTCTCTGCGATTATCCTTCCTTTTACAGAAAGTGGAATACTGATCTACAACAAGTGATATTACTTCAATGAAATGCAAAGGTAGTCAAATAGGTCAAAGCAACTATTTCATTAGAGAGTGGTAGAACTGAACCTGAGGACAGGGTTAGCAGGTTTCCTTCCAGCAGGTGCTCCGAGCACTGCTGTCACTGGGAAACAGGGAGGATTTCATTCTAGGGGCAAAGGGTACTAATGCTGTATATTAACAGGATAAAAACTAAAATTCCATGTCAGTTTGGTAACATATAAAAAGTTACAAAGTTAAGTTTCTTTAGAAAAAAATATATTTTATCTCTATTGCTTTTTGTTTATTTGTTTTTGAGTCAGGGTCTCATTCTGTTGACGAGGCTGGAGGGCAGTGGCACAATCATGGCTCAAGTGATCTTCCTGTGTCAGCCCCTCAAAGAGTAGCGGGGATACAGGTGCGTACCACCATACCTGTCTAATTTTTTAATTTTTTGTAGAGACACGATCTTGCTATGTTGCCCAGCCAGTCTCAAACTCCTGGGCTCAAGTGATCCTCCCACCTCTACCTTGCAAAGTGCTAGATTACAGATGTGAGCCACCATATCCTATTTTTATTATTTAGGATTCTAACTTTAGTACTTAGGATGGTGTCTGAAATGTTTGTTGAATGAGTAGATGAACAAATATACAAACATTTTCTATGGTGTACTCATATGATGTGATACCACATTTATTTTAAATATGTAAACGTCATGGACATGTGCATGTGAAATAAGGTTAAGAGAAAAAGAATACAAGGGAATATGTTCCCGCTGATTACAACTGTGTAAAAATTAACCCGTGATATAAACATGACGGAAAAACTATACATTCATATCTATTTGCTGCCCTGGTATGAGATGCTTCAGGTTTTTGTAGAGTCTCAGGTCACTCATACTTAAAACTTCATTCCAGTCATATGAACATCAATGGTAATATAAACAATTCCAGTATCTATTTTACTGGCTAAATTTTAGTTTTGCTTAAGTCTGAGAAACCAGTTTACAAACAGGATGTTTCCTAAAAATATGTGTAGTCATTGGTTAACAGAAAAACAATTTAATGTGTAGTCACTGGTTAACAGAAAAACAATTTAATGATGGTCATTAGATCCCAAGTCTACCCCTCAAGCCAAATTTATCACATGATGTAGATGGACTATTACATTACAGCTTGATCATCACCATACAAAAAATAGTGAAGTTAATTTTCTTCTCTCCTTCCTTGGTATACCTCTGGACTTAGGAAACAATTTGAAACAAGCAAAGTTGGTACCCTCAACCTCCTCTTTCTGCTTCTCTCAAGTCCTCCTGACTTCCTACCTGAGCCCAACTGATCTCTGCCTGATCCTGCAGAAAGCCTCATGTTTCAAATGACTTATCTTTGATTTCAGAAGCTAAATAGGGTTGGGCCTGGTTAGTACTTGGATGAGAGACCAGATGATGTATCTCCCAATCAAGATGCCCACTTACTTCAAACAGCTGATCTTATCTAACTTGGGGAGGAGAATAATCTGATCATACTACAATGCCATGTGTGCAAGTGAACATTTCTTATCCTTCCGAAAGGTATTTTTGTGAGATGTCTGTTGACTTGGCAAATGTAGGGTAGGAGGAGACAGTGGGAAAGGGGAGTATTTGCCATAAAGACAGCCATATCCTGCCACTCCTCATGTGTTCCGGCCAAACCTAAGGTTTTTCTAGTTCCCCAAACTTAGTAGATTCACCATGCCATCCTCTCTGCCTAGAACATGTATTCCCTAATGCTTGCTTCAAAACGTCTTCTTGACCTTCAGACTGGAAGGAAGCCTTGCCTATCTATCCTGGGCTGGGTGGGTGGCTCTCCTCTGTACTCCCACAGCTAACAATGAGTATGTCTATCAAAACACCATCACATAGCTGAGTATGGTGGCTCATGCCTATAGTCCCAGCTACTTGGGAGGCTGAGGCAGGAGGATAGCTTGAGCCCAGGAGTTCAAGCTTGCAGTGCACTATGATTGTGCTACTGCACTCCAGACTGGGCAACAGAGTGACACCCTTTCTCTAAAATAAGCAAAACCAAAAACCAAAACACACCATCACACCATATCACTCTCTTATAGCCTCTTTTTACTTGCCTGTATCATAGTGGCTATTTATTCATAAGCAGCTAGCACAGGGCTTCTATCTTAAAAGGCACATAAACTCTTAAAATAACAGGGCATGGTGGCTCACGCCTGTAATCCCAGCACTTTGGGAGGCCAAGGCAGGAGGATTGCTGCAGGCCAGGAGGATTGCTTCAGGCCAGGAGATCAAGAACAGCTGAGCAAAACCAGGCGTGGTGACGCACCCCTGTAGTCCTAACTACTCGGAGGCTGAGGCAGAAGGAATGCCTGAGACCAGGAGGCCAAGACTACAGTGAGCCGTGATTGTGCCACTGCATTCTAGCCTGGGCAAACAGAGTGAGACTCTGATTAAATAAATAAATAAATAATTTGGGTAAACAATTTTTAAAACTTGTTGCCACTAATGTTCTATATTTAACCTAAAATAAAACTTTATTGAATGGTATCAAAGTGCAGCAACTAACATTCCATCTTCTCTTACAATCATGTATTGTGCACACACTTTAATCAATAAATGAACCTTTGTCACAGTCATTTAGAGTGCACATGCTTTCATCACTCAATCCACATTTGTCATCCTTCGTGCATATACCTCATATCACATGCCTGCTTCATGAAGACAGGGCCTGTCTCTGAATTGTGGATCACAGAGTGGCTGGCAGGTATGGTAAGAAGCCAGCCACAGTATTAAGATACTGAGTAGGTGATTCAGAGGACTGTCAGCAAAATTGAGTGGATGGAAAGACCACCCCAAGAACAGTGAAAGGCAAGGAAAAGAATTTCTTTTTTTTTTTTTTTTTTAGAGATAGGGTCTCACTCTGTCATCCAGGCTGGAGTACAGTCACAGCTCATGGGCATTTTATTTTGTGTAGAGATGGAGTCTTGCCCAGGTTGGTCTCTAATCACTGGCCTCAAGCAATCCTCCTCCCTTCAGCCCCAAAACTCCTAGAGCACAGCTATGAGTTACTGCAACCAGTCAAGGCAAGGAAGATTTAACAAGGGACTGACTTCAGAAAATCGAATTTATAATACCAACTACTCTAGGGATTGAGACAGGAGGATCACTAGAGCCCAGGAGTTCGAGACCAGCCTGAGCAACATGGCAAGCGACCTTGCCTCAAAAAGAGGCAGGTAAGAGAGGCAATAGATGAGAGGCAAGACAGGAAAGGGACAAGAGAGGGAAGAGAGGCAAGGGAGGAAAGTAAGGCAGGCCAGCAGGAAGGAAGGAAGGAGAAAGAAGAGAAAAGGAAAGGACAAAACAAGAGAAACTCCAACCCACCCAGCAATTCACAGAGGTTACTGTCCCCCAGAAGCTACACTAGAGCCCCGAGGCGAGGGCACTTGCGACGCTGGCCAGGCAATGGGCAGACCCATAGGAGAAGGCTCCCCTACCTCGTCTTTCAGCACACGCATCAGGTTGCCCTTCTCCATGTACTCCATCACCAGGGAGTAGTTCCCTTCTTCTATGATGATGCCCAGGAGCTGCACCACCCGGCTGTGTCTCAGTCTGTTCATCATCTTCCCCTCCTCCAGAAGGGCCTCGTTGTACCTATGGGCAGGAAGGCTGCTGAGATGGACAGAGCAGCCCTGGAACCTCGTGCCCCTGCAAGCCGCTCTGCTCTTGTCCTGCTCAGGTCTGCACTGATCTGTTCCAGGTCCAGACCACAAGCCTCCACCATCTTTATAATTCTCCTGCCCAGTGACTGGCAGAGGGTACTCAGGAAACGTCAGTGTAAATGAATAAATGAAAAGTATACTGAACAGCAGCCATATAGCCTGAAGAAAAGATTGTGCTGGAGAGTCAATTAAAAATATAGCCTCTCTCATAACCACTCTGACAAAGAAAGAGAAGTAAAACTAGCCCGCTGATTGCTCTCAGGGGAGGGTTCTTAGAACTCTTATGAAGGAACCACTGTCTGTTTTCCATACTGAGAGGTTAATCCTCACCAAAAAGGAAATAAGTCTATCTTCACTGATCCCTCTCATTTTCTTGTCATGGCCTTCCTCACCACCCTTGGCTTTCTTAATTTCCTTCCCCTTCATTGCTCTTCCTTATTTACTAGCTGTGAACTTTTTCCCGCCTAGCCTCAGGATGCTCATCAGTGATAATAACAATCATAAGAGCCATTGCTACCCCTAATATCCCACCAGAACGTTTCATCCTAACCCCCAGCGGCTGACCTTAACTACGCATTGACCTGCACCTCCATGGGCGCTGCTGTCTATGCCTGTTTGGAGTCCCCCACCACGACCCCTGCTTCCCACTCACTCAGTGCACTTGGGCCCTGTGTACACCTTTTTTATGATCACGAGTCCACGGGTTTTGTGGAAGCACAGAGACACCTTCCCGAAGCCGCCGCTGTCCAGATCTTTCCCCTCCAGGAAGTCACTGGATTTCATCTTAATGTCATCCAAGGACATGTCTGGTTGCCTTCTGAATGCTCAGAATGCCCAAAATTACACCACTTTTTTCCCCTTCAGAGCTGTACCCTACAAAGAGAACAGAGAAGACATGTCAGGGCAAAAACATCATTATTTGTAAACTTTTGTAAAATTCCACCACGTGCTTGCTATGCCTTTGCTTTTTGAGGATAGACTTACAGTCTCTAACATGAGCTGTTTTTCTGATTTCTAAGAGTCATAGTATTTACTCTCTCAGTCTTTTCATTTCTGGCAATATGGAGTCCTAGAAAATTTTCAAAACCCTCCTGTTACAAAGGACCTATATCTGTTGAATAACGCAAGACAAGCATCCATTCAAATGTACAGCATAACTCAGTGAAAAGGAAAGAACTCTAGGGATGGAAAACAAACAGGGCACAGGCCCACATGGGGCACTGCCAACCTTACCATCTAGAAGTTCAGAGCTGAGGCCAGAGCATGCAAGAAAAGAAGGCTGGAATGAAGACTCCCCCTTAACAAGAAATGGCTTAATGTTTCTCCCCCAATGAAAGGAGAACTAGAAAAATAGCAGCCTCTTAGCAAATGAGCACATTTGTCTTAGATGGGGCATGGGGTATTAAAAAAGGTCTGTGCAAGTTCATAACCTTGGGTCTGTCTTCAAATAGATTTGGGTTTTAAATTGAGAGAATCCCCCAAACTAAGAACTTTCATATAGGAAGTAGTAACAGACTGATGACATCCTGAGGTTACAGGCTAGAGCAGAAAACATCCACAAGCCAGGCCAGACAGGATCCCCACAAATAAAACTTAATTTAACATGAGCTCCCTTGCCAAAATTATAAAACACACACAAAAAATTCACCTGAGCTAGACCCTGCAGATACAACAAATAGCATTACCAAACACCAAAGAATGTCAGGTAAATACACTATTGAATAGCATTAGAAAATAAATAGGCTTTAAAATAATTATGAACAAAAGAAGGAATTTGAAGAATATAAAAAGAACAAAGCGCTCTCCAAAGAGAATAGGAAAACGTGAAAAGGGACAAGAACTGAAGACTTATCCATCAGTGCTGTGAAGTAGACAACGTCAGATCTCAAAGCAGAACTATTTGCTTCAACCTCCTTCCCTTTTCTTCCATTCATTCATTCATATTTACTCATTTCCCCCAATCTGAAATGAAGAACAAAAACCCATGTGGAGGTTGGGCACGGTGGCTCATGCCTGTAATTCCAACACTTTGGAAGGCCAAGGCAGGTGGATCACTTGAACCCAGGAGTTGAGTACCAGCCTGGGTAATACAGCGAGATCATCTCTACAAAAATAGAAATAAATAATTAAAATAATAATTATAATAATCCATGGGTAATCACAATGCAGTATCACTACATACTTGTCAGGATAGCCAAAATTAAAAAGAACCAAATTCTGGCAAAGACGTGAAACAACCAGAATTCTCATGTACTGTTGGTGGGATTATAATACAGTGTAACCATTTTGGAAAAAGGGCTGGAAAAAGCTTTATGGCAAGACAGAAGCTCCACACATAGTATCAGAACATAGGCACACCAGTGTGTGTATATGAGTATGCATGTCTGTGTTTCTACTGGGATGTACAAGGGGGTTATAAATGGTTTATGTTCCAGAAATACCTGCATCCCATACAGACAATGAAGAGTACATTTTGATAGGGCATTACTCACTGAAACTTCAGAAGGCATCAAAATAGTATCTACATATTATATGTTTCATAATGCATATATATTGCTTATAAAACTAAACATACATCTTCACTATGACCTGACAATTCCAAACCCAAGAGAAGCGAAAACATATGTCCAAAAAGACTTGTATAATATTCACCAGCAGCTTTATTTATAATAGCGCCAAACTGGAAACAGTTGTCTATCAAACAAGAAAATAGGTAAACAAGCTGTGGCATATTAACACAACAAGTTAATACTCAGCAATAAAAACGAACTACATAAAACAGCATGAATAAAAAGCACGAATATGATGCTGAGTGAAAGAAGTCTATAAAAAAGAAAATAGGTCGACACAGTGGTGTGATGGTAATGTTCTAAAGATACCAGTGAGGCTAGGGTTTCATGGGTATATGCATTTGTCAATACTCAGCAAATGTACTCTTAAGGATTGCAGGTAGGGGGAGCACATAACATCAATAAGGGTACCCAATCTCAAATCAGGTGAAGTTGGGACCAAGGGGAGGCCCGAACTTTAACTGTGTGATGACCACTTATGTACCTAACCCTGAACTGTACCCCACATCTTTAAAATAAAATATATATATGTATTTAAAATTGCAGGTAAATTGAACAAAAGAAAAATCTGCAAACACACTCAACTCTAGTTAGTGGCATGCATGCTGAAGTATTTAACAGGATATGTACTGATACCTGCGATTTACTTTGAAATGCATCAAAAAAATCAGATGCATGGATAGACGGAGGGAAAAGGAGATGGATACGTATGTGACGAAGCACTGACAGTGGATATTAACTTTGTACTCTGGTGTTTTTCATAATACAATGTTGGAGGGCAGGGAGTTAAAGCAATCACCTTGAGGAGTGGAGTTCTGAAAATGCCTAAGCTGCCTGTGGTCTTGTTCAACGACCTGCTCCTGCAGGTGGCTAGGGTAACTAACCTACGTGCGTCCAAAGACACTCCAAAAACTGTGGGTCATTCCTCCCTAGCAGATGACACTCACATAGCAGGGTCTATAAGCCATCATTCCCAGGACATAAAACATTGCCAAACAAGGGGAAGTGCCCTCAGGAAGAAGCACATTGGTGGGACAGGGCAGAGAGTAGGGGTAAGGGTTGCTGGACAAAGGAATGAAGACTGAGGATGGGGGGCGGGGGTGGGATGCTGAAGGTGAGGTAGCAGGAGCCATGCTGACAGAACAAGAGCACGGCCTTCCTCTCATGAGCCTGAACTCTCACTCTGTAATTCATTAGCCCTGTGATCTTGGGGAGCTGACTTAAGTCTGTTTCCTCATCTGCAAAATAAAATAACAGCTGCCTCACAGAACTGTTAAGGATTATACAAGAAAATATATACGTGTGTGTGTGTGCGTGTGTGTGTGTGTGTGTGAAAATATGTGTTGTCCGCTTTACAGCTTTGGTTATGGTTGGACTGGCTGCCCATGTTTATTTCTCCATACAGATCACATCTTCCTGGGCTTTGAAAATGCCAACATGAAGCCAGGATCATTGCTCAGTAGGTCTCTACTAATAAATCCTTGTGAGAATGAGATGGAGTGGGGGGTGGAGACAGAGTACACAAAAGACAGCAACAGTGATGTGAGGCCTCCTTTTTCCTCTACTATAGACCACTGCAGTAGGCAGTACTGTACAGTCTTCCCCATCTCATGAGGGCAATGTGACCCACCCTCCCCCTGCTGTCCTCTTTAGGCACATTCTCCTCCTAACCTCTTTCCTGACTAGATATTGCTTATCTGTTAAGTTCCAGTGAACTGCCATTCCTGAGGGAAGCCATCCTAAGTCATCCCTTAGACCTTTTCACAGTTAAAACAGCACTGTAATTTGAGAATTTTGTTGTTGTTGTTTTTGAGTCAGAGTCTCACTCTGTCGTCCAGGCTGGAGTGCAGTGGCGCACACTCGCAGCCACCCCAGCATCAACCTGCTGGGCTCAGGCGATCCTTTCACCTCAGCCTTCCAGGTAGCAGGAATTACAGGCACGCACTACTGCGTCTGGCTAATTTTTGGTTTATTGTAGAGATGAGGTCTCGCCAGGTTGCCCAGGCTGTCTCAAACCCGTGGGCTCAGGGAATCCACTCACTTCGGCCTTCCAAATTGCTGGGATTACAGGCTGAGCCTCCGAGTCCAGCTGAGAATTATTTCTAATTAAGTTCACAGAAGGCAAGAATTTTTCTTGTGCCTAGCAGAACCTGACACATGGCGGAGGATCATTAAATGATAACTATTTCTTAAAGGAACTATTTAATTAACCAAAAATAAAGGATATAGTTAAATGAATTATGGCACACTCATAAGTCAGAACATTAGATAGCCATCAGAATTGTTTTCAAAGCGTAATTCTACAGAAATAATATATTAGCACTTGTATGCATGTGTGTGTACATATATATACACATAGGTACATAAATAGATATAGATATATCTAAAGATGAAAAGGACACCAAAATGTTAACAATGATTATATCTGGATGGTAGGGTGGTTTTAACTTTCTTCTTTACACTTTTAATAAATTTTCAACATTTTCTACAATAAACATGAATCAAATTTATTAAAAAGGTTATTTTTTGAAAGGAATAATTCCTTGACTCAGTAGTTCTTTACTCTGAAGAATCAAATCTCAGATGCTGATAAAGATTAGGTACAAGGATGTTCCTGGTAACATTACCTAGAACAGCACAAGCATGTAAAACCATTAGCATGTACAGAGGAGAGAGTCATGGACCATTCATACCCTGTAATATATCTAGTTGTTTTCAAAAATGATGCTTAAGAATGCTTACCAACATTTAAACATTCTCATAGACAGTAAAAAAAGGAAGGAACTACAGCATGCCCTGGAATATGCCCATTTGGGTAAAAGAGTTCAACTTTATGAGTTCTATTCGGTATCTCTCCCTCAGTTCAGGACATTTGTCAAATTTGTCAAGACACTGTTTGTCAGGACATTGTTCTCAAATTTGTCAAGATCAACTAGGACTTCCAATGCTTATTGCCTGCAGTCGAGAGCTCAGGGGAAGGAGGCCTCCAGGTAGGCCCACTGGACTTTGTGAGCTTGCCTCCTGACCCATGTCAGTTATCCTTATAGTCTTGTGGTCTGCTAGTTTAAGTCTGATGTTAATATTATGCATCTTTTGCATGGTTTCCAGTGATTTCTTTTGTTTTTACTAGTCTTCCTCCCTTAATCATCCATGAACAATTCAACTTATAAGCACTGAATATCGTAGCTTTGTGAGTAGTTTAGTGAAGGATACCCAAGAGCCACAAAAACACTGAATTTAGGTAGGTCACATAGCCATGTTATTATAAAGTCATCCTCAGAGTAGTTAACAAAGGTGTGCTGGCCTATCAACTCATTTCAACCAGTAATGCAACTGTGTCCATTTTAATGGAATTTGCTAATGTTTTTGCATAAATTAATATTAATTCAGAGACTCAGGGATGTGAACCTTTTCTATTGAAATTAATGAAGAATTCCAAGAAATTTCACAAGTTACCTTCTAAGACAGGGTAAGTTAACTAATTACAAAATATTGTGATTAATTTTTCCCCATTATTCCATGATGACCACACATAGTAAGAGTGTGACAGAAAATTTTGGTTGCCCGTGTGCCACTGCCCTACTTCTTCCCTGCTAAAATAGAACTCTGATTTTATTCAGGTATCCCAGTGACCAAGAGACTTCTGCAAGGTTCTTTGATTATAGCAGCCAGCTGCTTTTCCCAGATAAACAAGAGCTCTGAGCAAAGAAGAGCCAAACGATCAGCAAGAGACCAGAATGAAACAGAATTTCAACAAGCATTATCATGTACATTAGCATGTCATGACCCCATAAAGTAAATTTTGTCATGATTTCAATTTACAAATGAAGAAACTAAGATCTGGAGTTACATTATTCACCTAAAGTGGTAGATCCTGGAATCAAACTTTTGTTCCTTCACACAAATTTTCACTTTCAGTTCAGTAACACATGCTACTTCTCCAAATAGCAATTTGTCTTGGAAAAAATACAGACGTAAAGTCTTACTCATCTGTATTAAACACGTATGCTACAGTCAGAAACACAGGGAATGGATAGAATAAATTCTTAAAACACAGGAAATATATGGTCCAAAAATTAATAGTCTACAGATTAATACAGTCAGCTATTTTTGCCAGAATATAATATCCAACTAAAGCATGGAAAGTTTTATATATTTTTTTCAAATTTCTGGAACATATTAGTGGTATTAACAGTTTCTGGATTAATAAGCACCAAACAGTAGTTTGCCCAGTTTGGAAGTTGATATTTTAGGACCTTTTCTTAATATTCATTAATACAATCCTGAAAGTACAATGTATCTTTGAGGCTCAGAATAGTGCAGATGGAGAAAAATGAAAATTAAAGTTAATCATTTTTGCTGTTTTATTAGTAATAATGATGATGACACTCCAAACTTCATTTTAAACAAATTTAGTCTTCACTTTTTTTGTACAGAAGAACTGCAGTATTCCACATTTCTGATAGATCACAGCTTCCTCCTTACTCAATCCACCTTGCCTAGCAGTCACAAAATGCAGGTGAATACTAAGTCACTGCACATTTCAAAGTTGATTCTGTACCTTGGTTTCTTCAAGTGTACATCAGGTAAGAATAGTGGCCTAAGACATAAGAACTTCTTCAAAGCTCATTGATTACAACAGCCTCCTGCATTGCCCAAGATAAACAAGAGCACAGATCAAGGAAAAGCCAAAAGAACACCAAGAAGCGGAGAAATGAACAACCCCAGACCTTCCCCTCCTTGTGAGGCTCTGTCAAATGCTTAGGAAAGGAGGATGCAGCTTCCCCGCTTCCAAACCCTCAAGAGTCTGTAGTACTTCGTAAAAGCAAATACCACTGAAGCCCAAAGAAGCCTCCTAGGGTTATAACATTAATCCCTTCAGTCTTTGTGGCTGTTGACCACGCCTTTCCCATTTGCCAACTCACGTCTAAAATTACTTTGCAACCTGCTGCAGCCCCAAAGGCAACAGTAAAAGGCCCTTTCAAAAAGCTGGAAAGACATCCCACCTGTTGTGGCAAGAGCAGGCACCATTTCTTCTTACTGACCCTGCAGAAACCACCCACCCTCCCTACCAAAACAACGTCGATGTTAACAGTGAAGCGGCAGCTCCCACGACACCGTAACGGTGGCCTGAGGGCAGATCTCCGCCCTCCTCCCGACTTGCACCGACACCTCCGGCGAAGAAGGAACCGCCAGCCCCCGACTCCGCAGCCAGCGGCTGGGCATCGGACCACCAGAGAG